GCTCCTCTCCTCAAGTATGTATCGGGATAGAAATGGTCCCCAGCAAATCATGCTCGTCTCCCTCAAAAAGGATCTGGGTTAGAAATCCGTCTTCAGCACCCATGCTTGTCAAATGAGGCAACAAATAGGACAGGTAGTTCAGATTCGCTGATTCGGTTGACACATATCATCGTATCCCGATTGTGTAGATCTATGCCTATGAAGTTGATCACTAGATTGTCTGGTCCAGACTCGATCGCTGTCATATAGCTTGAATAAGTGAGTCAGTATGGTTTTACGCCGCCTTTAGCAATATTCCAGCAATATCACGGCAGGTGACGCCAGAAATAGGCTTCACACATTGTGCCTATGTAGGAATCAAACCCGGGTCTTCCACGTGACGAGCGGACCCTTTAACCACTAGGCTACCCCACTGCCCCAGCTGGAATAATCCTGAGTGTGGTGTTAAATAACAAATAAACAAACAAATATCACCATATTGTGTAGATAGGACATCAATCACAGTATTGTCCTATCATGTAGCCAGATTATTGCTGAGTGCTGCATTAAAATACAAACAAAAAAACACAATGAAATATCTACAAACACAACACCATAACAAAGTTTTCCTCCTGTTTAATGTCACAAATACTGTACAATGCAAACCTCACTCATATGAGACAATTCCATGATGAATATAGCACAGGTGTTATATACATTGCTGCATACATGTTCACACGGATAGGAAATGGGTACAACAAAGCACCGATTGTCCGCCTCCCTTTCAATTTCCGCTTACCTTTAAATCTGCCTGTATGTATTTACAGCAATATATTAATGCATATTATTATGTATGTAACTGCCTACTGTAGGTCTCACAGGAAAATAACTAGTACTGTCACCAACTCTAGAATGGGCACCCGGAAATAAGAGCTTATGGGACAAGGAAATGGCAGACTTATACATTTGTACATAAGATAATAATTAACAAGGTTCTTCCACCGAGACATGCTACATTGAAAAAGCTGAATATAAATCCAATCTGGGAATTTAATGACTAGATTGGTGAAATTTGTCTGTCTGATATTCAGCTACTATAATCCAAATGTATAGCAAAGGTTTCTGAAAGACAAGGCTTGTAGGCTGCATGGTTGTTGGCACTTAGTCACTTGAATTATCACATTTTTATCATCTTAAATCCCATTTGTGAATTTCATGTTTGATTTTTACTTTTTTTTTCAGAACACCTTATGTACATAAAACATTAGGTTCATCCTCAACTGTATCATGTATTCTATGTTTAAATCCAGATAATCATCTGAGACACATGCCTATTTGTTTACTTTACAAAACTTATCAATGTTCTAGCTTTATTAAAATATTGACTTGTGAGAATCTGGTGCTGTCCTGATACTGAATCTCAGTACCTGATGTTCATGTGACCAGTATAGGTTGTTGGCAACTGTTCTAACACTAGCACTTTTCTTTTATTTAAATGCAAAACATCCAAGACAATGGTGAAAACAAAGAAAACAGGCCGACTTGAAATATAGGTTATGCAAATGTCATGCAAATGAGCCAACACTAGTAACAATGATTGAATGAAATAGGTTGCATACCTCAAAACAGTATTGCCACTGTCTCAAAACAGTATTGTTTGAATGTGAGTGAGTGAGTATGGTTTTACGCCACAATTAGCAATATTCCTGAAATATACGTCAGGGAACACCACTGTACCCATGTGGGGAATCGAACCTGAGTCTTCAGTGTGACGAGCGAATCCTTTAACCACTAGGCTACCCCCACCACCCCTCCATCTGTGAACTCTTTAGTGAGGACAAAGGGATGTTAGAATATGATTAAAAGCATTTCAAGTATTATCATACTAACATCATGAGATTCAACGCTAGCTACATTTGATTAACATACATAAACCATTTAATGAATCTCATGTGGATGACAATAGTTTGAGGTGGATAAGATGAATAGATAGGTGAATGGAGTACTATTGTTTTCCAGTATTGTACCCATCTGTGGAACCAAACCCATGAATGTACCATGATAAGCTAAGACTTCAACCACAAGGCCATCTATGTCTGTTAGAGGAAGTGTAGCAGATAAGGGTGGGCACTTCAGCATCTTATCTAAACTTGTTTGAGTGGCATTTAGAAGTTGGTGTGATGAACGAGGAGGAGAGTTCTATGGAAATCACCGGCTTCCTCCCAATAATCCCCCATAGCTTACTCTGTTTGTGTAACAATTGCCTTCTTGTACATCAACCTCATTAATTGTGCAAACAGCAATCACGTATTGTTCAACTTTACTATGTATATATATATACCTTGCTTCTAGTATTGTACATCATTTGCTTGATAATGGTGTTAGTAGCTACACTGAAACGTTGCTCATATTATATTAAAGAAGTTGTATATCCATAGAACTCTCCTCGTTGTTCATCTTATCTAAATATGATAAGCATCTAAAGTGAACTCTGAGTCTGATGATGGTTCTTTATGACTGCATCTGTGACTATGCCAAGTTTGTGCCCTGGGCCCACGTTTCAGAAAAGCTCTCATATCGTAAGTCAATGTTACAGTGTAGGAAGTACGAATGCTACGAGAAAAGTTGCGAGATCTTAGGCTTACGAGAGCTTTGTGAAACAGGGCCCTGGACTGACTGACTGAGTTTGGTTTTACGCCGCTTTTAGCAATATTCCAGCAACATCACGGGGGGGACACCAGAAATGGGCTTCACACATTGTACCCATGTGGGGATTCGAACCCGGGTCTTCGGAGTGACAAGCCAACGCTTTAACCACTAGGCTACCCAACCGCCCCAGGGCCCTGGATACTAAGCCTGTCAAGTGCTATTTCATTGCCACAGTACAGTGTGTTGATGCTATTAATGTTCAACTAATATCATCAGATCAGAGGTTTTCAGACTTCAGGCTCACTCAGGCTGTAACAAGGGGTGTTGCACCACACAGACATTCCAATCTCTTGAATGATGGCTTGTGTTTAGGATAAAATGATCTTGTGATCTTTAATAAGATAGTGACATGTATTACAATTGTTCATGCAAAAACACAGCCAATAACAGATGTTCTTAAGTGTCTGAAAACCCAAACAAGAGGACATGACAATGCCATGAAAATAATTTTTCTTTGATACTTGTTAAGAGTGAGTGAGTGAGTTTAGTTTTACGCCGCACTCAGCAATATTCCAGCTATATGGTGGCGGTCTGTAAATAATCGAGTCTGGACCAGACAATCCAGTGATCAACAGCATGAGTATCGATACTTGTTAAGAATGAAAATCAATAATATATTTTGCGCTAATCTAATGAATATGCAGAGTCAAGCTTTGTATGTGAAAATCCCAGTCTAATTACTTGTACCAGCTGTGTATACTGATATAACTCAATACTTCTTTAATTGGATCTTAAGACAATTGGTTTATGGATGTCTAGAGAGGAGGGGTCAGCAGTAAAATCTGTATCCCTGAACATGGTTGGTCTGATCAATGAATGTCTGGTCTGATCAATGAATGTCTGGTCTGATCAATGAATGTCTGGTCTGGTACCAAACTGTTACCAAGTCATGGTGGTAAACTGTCAACAGGTTGTTAAAACTGCTACATTGAACTTTATGACAAAATGTGTCTCCCAGGGGTGAACATTCACACAGTTGGATTGCTTTCATGAAAAGGAACAATCCCCAAAATGGGAGCACTGCTCATTAATACCCGACTGTGACTCCGAACTTCAGCTGTACAACAATTAATAACGATTATTCTCAACAAAAATACAATATCTGTAACCAACTTTGTACCTCGCCTTTGCTGTAAAAAAAAGCCATAAACAAAATCTTAAAACAATTGACTATACTGTTAAGTTATTGGTTGAACAAATTCGATGTGGGACTTTCCAACCAGAGTTCCAGAGATGTTATCTGTGATAACTCTCCATAAATTCAAAATATTAAAATATAACTTTGCACTGCACATCTCCTTTAGATATGGAGATTTATTAACAAATTTGTAAACAATCTAATTCATACGTATTCAAAAACTCCCCTGGGCTGTTTTTTTTCAGTTCAAAATATGTACATTGATGCAACACTTTCAAAATCTATAAAATCGGAACAACCTCACCTTACAACAAAAAAGATGTTTTCAAAAATTTGCAAACATTTTGAGTAATACTTTTCAAGTTATTGGTTGAACAAATTATTCTCAGTTCAAACTCATAAATTGATGAATTTTCAAAAAATACTCAAATTATCATGATCAAAATTTGCACTGCACCCTTCCTCTAGATAAAGAAGTCAGTCCACAAATGTGAAAACAATCCAACCAACAATTTCAAATTATTTGTTTGAACAAAAATGTCTTTGGACATAACTATAACCTTTTTAGTCAGGAGAACTAATCAATTTTAATGGCAAACTGGGATGGGAACTAAAGATCTTTTCCCTAAAACTGAAATATTTGTACATGTGACATTTGGTGTAGCTTGTTGTCATGGTTATTCATAAGACAAATAACTCACGCACCTCAATACAAGAAAGTATCAAAATCTTACAGTTGAGACTTCGAAAGCTGAACAGAAACATTTTCTCACCAAAAGAGGATTTAAAAGTGTCAGTAATTTCCAGTGTACGTAGAACAGTTAATTGAATGTCATTCCCTCAACTCAAACCACAAAACACAGGCTCAGTCACAGATAAAATTATGAACTTGTTCAAACAGGTTAGTCATGTGGTGATAAGCATTAACACTACTGCCAGAGTTACCCCCCTTGCACTGCTGATCAAGAAGTTGGTGTACAAGCTCACTGATCTTTATTGTACATGGTCTGTCCATGCAGATTCATAGAATACACACTAAAGACCAAACCTCAAGCCAGTGCAATATAATACTCATCTTATAAAAGATTAATACATTAAATGACTGGCTATACAGACAATAGTTAATGGTAACTGACCAACAGTTGACCAATAAAAAGGCCTTAAAGCTTAGCTATATGTTAATGAATTAATCTTTAATACCCCTTATTTGCTGAATTTTATAAATCAATTGAAAATACAATGTCTGTTGTAAAATACCTGGTTTTGACAACATAAGAAAATTGAGATACAATACATATTGTGAAAGGAAGTAAGGAACCACATCAACTATCATTGCAGCTGCATCACTCAATCCTCAAAGGTAAAAAGACTCTGAACCAAAACATATAACACCTGGCTAACAGGATTATCTCTCCTTACCACCTGTTTAAAGTGTCAGTGAGTGAGTGAGTATGGTTTTATGCCGATTTAGCATTGTTCCAACAATATCACCGAGGGGACACCAGAAATGGACGTCACACTTTGTACCCATGTCGGGAATCGGACCCTGGTCCTCGGCATGACGAGAAGCCTTAGCCACTAGGCTACCCCACCACCCTATTTAAACATGAAACAGAAACAGTTGTATATGAGGTCATATCTTGTACCAATATTCTGACAAAAAGGTTTTAGTAGCTACTGAGCTAGATACTCAACAAATAACAGATTTACTGAAACCTAAATATCGAAGACAGTTTGTGACTGTTCTGTGGTTATCTCATTTCCCTTTCAATGGCAGCTTCTGCTGCTTGGAACAGGTGAACATTCTGTGTGATCTACATGAGATCAATGTTGGGATATTCCAAACAGGCATATGGAGTTGGAATTGCTGACCTCCCAGCACAAATCACATAGCTAGTCGCACATTCATTGTAGTTTGCCAGAAAAAATAAGAGCTGCACTTATCCAAATGTATAAACTAACCAGGAGTTGATTGAACCAATAATAGATGAGTTGGTTGGTTGGTTGGTTTGTTGTTAATGTAGCACTCAGCAATATTAAATCTATATGGTGGTGGTCTGTAAATAATCAAGTCTGGACCAGACAATCCAGTGATCTACAGCATGAGCATCAATCTACACACATTGGGAAACGATCACATGTGTCAACGAAGTCAGCAAGCCTGACCACCCAATCATGTTAGTCGCCTCTTACGACAAGCATGGGTTACTGACAACCAATTCTAACCCGGACCTTCACGGGTAGATGAAAGATAGGAAACACAAGCCAGGAAATTGTATTTTCATTTTCCTATCATACGATATGCTCTTCTTGTACATAAAACTATTCTTGGTATAGTTCTGTATGGACACCTGGACTAGAGATACAGTACTCAAAAATAAAGCAACACTCGTAAACTTTGGTCAAACATACCACCATTGAATAATGTTCACATAGAAGCAAACTGTGGTTTTATGATCTAAAGTTTGATTTTCAGGCACTCAATCACAGATTATTAAGACTCCATTAAGAAACCCTAACTCCAAATTTAGGCAATAAGGTAGATCTGGGATAATTGGGGTAAAAAGGTAATTTACACACAAAATATAAGATCACTGTTAGCATGACACACTGATAAGTAATGCTAAGAATATATCTTTTGCATTATATCTTATTGCCAACCTCACAGCTAAAACAAGCGTTATTAATTGTTTATTAATTGGTAATATATATTATTATGTATAGCCCAATAGCTATTTGATATAACTGATGTGTCTTTTGAAAAAGAACATAGTAATATACTACTAAAACAAGTTAAGGAATATCTTCAATTCTTTCAATTCTATAGTGTTATTGTCCTTATTTTCATTTGAGTAGTATATATCAACATTATCAAATTTGCAGAGTTGGGTTCAAAATATGGCAATGATAACACAAACCCTACAGGGCTTTGGTGATGTACGCACTGATGATGATGAAGAGGTGATCTATTATTTACAACAGTACAGATGCACATCCTAATTGACTACAAACACATTCTCCATCAGTTACAAAATGTCTGAGGTTCCAGTTGATTATCTTTGAAATATCCCAGCGAATGGTAGGCACTTCCTGTCATGCTCAGTCATCACACACAAGGCAAGTTGATCCGTCAGTGAACAATGTGAGAGCTCTATGGCTGGTGGTGATCATAAAAAGCTGAGCCCAATACCAAATTGTAAACCGGCATTAATACTGAAAAGAAAAAACAAAATGATTTTCAGTGTCAGTGAGTGAGTTGGGTTTCAAGCTACTTTCACAGCAGTGTGCAAAATAGTTTCCAAAGTTTGCAAACCAGATGGGCTTGCTATGCCTGAAAGTTACTAGCCCTCAAAATAATTCACTAGCTCAAAATCTCAATGTAAAAACTAAGCAAAAGATCACAAAAATAGATGAGAATAAGATATTGTCGGCATGACATGGGTTTCATGATTAAGCTGCTCATATGATGAACATTTTTATTAGGTCAAAACCTTGGATGATTTAAAAGTGTATTATAACTTAACAAGTCGGAGAGAGTGATATACTTACAAAATGACCCCATGAAAATTCACTGGCCAGTTTTACTGGCCCAACTGGATGTTTACTAGCCACAGGCTAGCAGGCCAGTGGCTATTTTGCAGCGCCATATGGCAGTGCACAGACAGGTAGAAGAAAGGAAGATTACTTTAAATGGTCAGTGAACTGACCACTAGGCCACTGTCACCTCTAGATATGCATAACTAGATAATCCTGCTGCCCACCTGTCTCCTCTCTGTGCTTGCATAGGTATAACATAGTTGAGTTCCATCCTGGCTACACGTCCCATCCGCAGCACGATGCCCCCGCCGTATGCCCATCGAAATGTCTCCGCCATGTGACAGAAGTTTTCACGAATATCAGAGTCTTATAAAGAAAAGGGTGGTAAAATTAGAAATCCAGCTCACCTTAAAATTATAAAACATATCTGTGCTAAACATATTTATTTCCATTAAAAGAGTTGTGAGATCAGCAAACAAGCAAACAACCACTTAATATAAGGACTCTATCTTAATTTACATACAATGTGAGAAAACAGCCTGTCTGTATACCTCAGACAATAAGAATGGATTTCTCCAATACAAAAGATTGCAATACTATATGAAATATGACATAGTGATAGTATGCACAGGGAGGAAGTCTCCAGTATTATCATACCAGCACAGTGATTATTCAGTACATCAAATACAGCTTTTATGCCAAAGGAATACCATCAGATCAAAGTCCAAGAGTTCTGTTCAAGTATGCTTTGATCCGGGCATCTGGTGTTTCAACTGTGAGTAGAATCTTTTGAAATTTAATGAAATCTTGATTACTTATTGTGAGCTGAGTTGCCAATGCGACGATACAAATATGTAAAGAGAACATTCTTTCATGATGATTTTTCCATTGAACATCAGAAATATACCTACTTAAGCTTATATTTCCTATGTTTCCAGCATTGATAAAGAAGTGGGTGCGGAAAAGTTCCCCAAAGCCGCCTTTCCCCGGCCGGAAGGGGAGTGGGGTGTACAGGTGCAGGGCAGCCAGCCAGTAGGCGTCTGCTCCAAGAGCGTTGCCTGCAACAGATGTATGGACAATGTAGAAGTCTAATCTGGAAGCGTTACCTGCAACAAGAGCCTTGACAATGTAGGTGTCTGCTCCGAGAGCGTTACCTGCAACAAGAGCACTGACAATGTAGGTGTCTGCTCCCAGAGTGTTACCTGCAAGAAAAGCAGTGACAATGTAGGTGTCTGCTCCCAGAGCGTTACCTGCAACAAAGCAGTGACAATGTAGGTGTCTGCTCCCAGAGTGTTACCTGCAACAAAAGCATTGACAATGTAGGTGTCTGCTCCTAGAGCGTTACCTGCAAGAAAAGCAGTGACAATGTAGGTGTCTGCTCCTAGAGCGTTACCTGCAAGAAAAGCAGTGACAATGTAGGTGTCTGCTCCTAGAGCGTTACCTGCAACAAGAGCACTGACAATGTAGGTGTCTGCTCCCAGAGTGTTACCTGCAACAAAAGCATTGACAATGTAGGTGTCTGCTCCTAGAGCGTTACCTGCAAGAAAAGCAGTGACAATGTAGGTGTCTGCTCCTAGAGCGTTACCTGCAAGAAAAGCAGTGACAATGTAGGTGTCTGCTCGAGGCGTTACCTGCAACAAGAGCACTGACAATGTAGGTGTCTGCTCCCAGAGTGTTACCTGCAAGAAAAGCAGTGACAATGTAGGTGTCTGCTCCTAGAGCGTTACCTGCAAGAAAAGCAGTGACAATGTAGGTGTCTGCTCCCAGAGTGTTACCTGCAACAAAAGCATTGACAATGTAGGTGTCTGCTCCTAGAGCGTTACCTGCAAGAAAAGCAGTGACAATGTAGGTGTCTGCTCCTAGAGCGTTACCTGCAAGAAAAGCAGTGACAATGTAGGTGTCTGCTCCCAGAGCGTTACCTGCAAGAAAAGCAGTGACAATGTAGGTGTCTGCTCCTAGAGCGTTACCTGCAAGAAAAGCAGTGACAATGTAGGTGTCTGCTCCTAGAGCGTTACCTGCAAGAAAAGCAGTGACAATGTAGGTGTCTGCTCCTAACTGCTCCTGCGTTACCTGCAAGAAAAGCAGTGACAATGTAGGTGTCTGCTCCTAGAGCGTTACCTGCAAGAAAAGCAGTGACAATGTAGGTGTCTGCTCCTAGAGCGTTACCTGCAAGAAAAGCAGTGACAATGTAGGTGTCTGCTCCTAGAAGCGTTACCTGCAAGAAAGCAGTGACAATGTAGGTGTCTGCTCCTAGAGGCGTTACCTGCAAGAGAAAGCAGTGACAATGTAGGTGTCTGCTCCTAGAAGCGTTACCTGCAAGAAAAGCAGTGACAATGTAGGTGTCTGCTCCTAGAGCCGTTACCTGCAAGAAAAGCAGTGACAATGTAGGTGTCTGCTCCCAGAGTGTTACCTGCAACAAAAGCATTGACAATGTAGGTGTCTGCTCCTAGAGCCGTTACCTGCAAGAAAAGCAGTGACAATGTAGGTGTCTGCTCCTAGAGGCGTTACCTGCAAGAAAAGCAGTGACAATGTAGGTGTCTGCTCCTAGAGCGTTACCTGCAAGAAAAGCAGTGACAATGTAGGTGTCTGCTCCTAGAGCGTTACCTGCAAGAAAAGCAGTGACAATGTAGGTGTCTGCTCCTAGAGCGTTACCTGCAAGAAAAGCAGTGACAATGTAGGTGTCTGCTCCCAGAGCGTTACCTGCAAGAAAAGCAGTGACAATGTAGGTGTCTGCTCCCAGAGCGTTACCTGCAAGCAAAAAGCAGTGACAATGTAGGTGTCTGCTCCTAGAGCGTTACCTGCAAGAAAAGCAGTGACAATGTAGGTGTCTGCTCCCAGAGCGTTACCTGCAAGAAAAGCAGTGACAATGTAGGTGTCTGCTCCCAGAGTGTTACCTGCAAGAAAAGCAGTGACAATGTAGGTGTCTGCTCCCAGAGCGTCACATGCAACAAAAGCATTGACAATGTAGGCATCTGCTCCCAGAGTGTTACCTGCAACAAAAGCATTGACAATGTAGGCGTCTGCTCCCAGAGCATTCTCTGCAACAGAACCATTGACAATGTAGGTGTCTGCTCCCAGAACTTTACCTGCATTGACAATGTGGACATCTAATAGTAAACCATTCTCTATTGGTACCAAACTAAAGATATTTCACCTTTACACATCGTTATATAATCTGTAAATTTCAAGCTTGGTGACTTAATACAGATGAAATATGTAATGGCGATTTGCGATGCTGTACATACGTTTTGTGTAGGCATTGTTAGCTTCATAACACATATTTAAGAAAATTGTTCACACAAGATGCCAGACACCATTTTTCTTGTCTTTTGCAAGCTTGCAGCATACATCCAACATGGCCGCCTACTGTATACTGTACACAGATTCACTATCACCTTGTGGACCTACCTTTATACAGCAGGTACAGATATAGCAATATTACACATGACTGCAATGACTCTCTTGCCCCTCAAAGACTCACCATCACTGTGAGGCCCCACCCCTGTACAGCAGATACAGATATAGCAACATTACCCACAAATTTGTGGGGTGTCTTGCCCCTCAAAGACTCACCATCACTGTGTGGCCCCACCCCTGTACAGCAGATACAGATATAGCAACATTACCCACAAATGCGATGACTCTCTTACCTCTCAAAGACTTACCATCACTATGAGACCCCACCCCTGTACAGCAGATACAGATATAGCAACATTACCCACAAATTTGTGGGGTGTCCTGCCCCTCAAAGACTCACCATCACTGTGTGGCCCCACCCCTGTACAGCAGATACAGATATAGCAACATTACCCACAAATGTGTGGGGTGTCTTGCCCCTCAAAGACTCACCATCACTGTGTGGCCCCACCCCCTTCAAACTGAAGCCTCTCAGGGTCAGGGGACCACCAAGGAAGAAACGGTCATTCACCTTGACCTCATGTTTAGGGTCAAGGGACTTCAAAAGGCCTCCAGCTAGAGAAACTTGTAATACCTTGAATGAAAAACAGAAAGAAACTTCTCACTAATCAAACAAACCTAAAAGTAACACTTAATAATGTTTCAAAAAGGGTTCAGACATTCTTGCATCATTTCATTGACTTTCTCCATTTGTAATTAAACCACACCAACAGAATATCCAAGTCCATACAGCACTGTGTCAATGTTACGTGTCCAAACCTTATTGTTTGAAATGGAGGGCATTTTATTATTCTAGTGAAATAAAATCAATAGTTTGTGGTAGAAAAATGAATAAAAATATGCTGTCTTACTGGCAAAGAAGGATAAGTTGAGCACAGACATGACAATTGACCCGTATTAGCATGTATAAGTGCCGCCCTATGGTGCTTGCCATTGTTAGCGAAGGGGCCCCAGGTTGTCCGCGATCAAGTGTAGTGTGATGGGTGACGCAAGGCAAAGGCGTGTGCAACTACGCGCGGAATCAATTTCATCGTCATGCAATGCACATGCACTAGCCTACATCTGCTCTACCTTTCACAAACCAAATGGGTTTGCTCATTGCCATGCACCGCCTACTTCTCGTAAATGCGTTCTATGCGCCGGTCCAACTTATCCTTGTTTGCCAGTTGTCTTATTGATGATTTTTTCTGGCAAATACAGCACAATTGAAATGAATGAAATAAACCACTTCAAACAGATACATCCCCTACTTTGGACCTACTCTGAACATTATTTTATTCCTCAAACTATCTGAGGGGAAAAGTAACCTGTCAATCATTTGTTCTCAAAATGTAATTTTTGGAGTAAAATTGATATTTTATACTTATCCTGACTCCTGCTCTTTTGCTTGTCTTCTTCTTCTTGCGAACATAGTGGAACACTTGTATCTCCTTATTTGAAGCTCCCTTCAAAATAAAATCACTAATTGGTACTCACCACGAGTTGCTCCCCTTTGTTTCCCCTGGCGGGAAAGGTGTCGCCACCCTCTGGCCATGTGCTCCACTCTCTCCTGATTTTGCGAGCCCAACACTTGAACTTACAGGGAAATCCAAAGTGTTATGTGGGGAGGATGGGATGGGAGACTAACCTCATGAGTCAGGATAAGTATAAAATATCAATTTTACTCCAAAATTACATATTTTCCTTATCCTGACTCATGCTCTTTTGCTTGTAGCATCCTCACGGACACGGAGGTGGGAGTAACAGAATACTTTGGATTTATAATTAGTGATTTTGTATAGATATACTGTAATATCCCCTCTAGGGAACTTCATGAAGCCTTAGATTTAGGATGTTTGCTGTATTAAAAAACCATAGGTTACATAATGCCATTAAAGGGGAATTACATTATTATTATATTGAACAATACATATAATATATATATATATAAGTGACTCTGATAGAGGCACTGAAACTGAACATATCATAGTATAAGCTTAAGGCTGAATAACTTAAGCTGAACATATATACATAGCCCTAAAACTCCGTGAGAGTTATAAGCTAGGTAAGTATGTATATAATACATATTAATCTTGTGAGGGTAATATTTAGCCCTCTGACGAGGAACTGTCAGTTGCTGGCGAGGACCAGTGGTCCGAAATGGTGAATGCCAGAGACATCTTCTGTAGTGATGTCTCTCAGGTAGTGATTAGCAAATACCATGTTAGATTTCCAATAGCATCCTTCCATAATCGTGTTCAAGGAACAGTTGCCGTGAAGGCGAGGGTGGAGGCCAATGCCCTGATCTCATGTGGATTTGATGCTGTTGGTGGGTCCAAGCCTGCTGCCTTGTAGGCACGGAGAATGACAGTCCTTATCCAAATAGATATTGTGGTCCGTGACACTTCTGTTTGATTTGTAGGCGATAAGGGGATGAATAAACGTTTGAGAAATCTTCTCCTTGTTTTGGATCGTCGTAAATAAACTTTGAGCGCGCTCTTACCGGACACAGTGATAGGTCTTGTGTATCTTGTGATCCGAGAATAGAGGATAGCGCCGGGATGTGGAATAACCTGTCTGGTTGACCTGGCAGTTGATTTTTAGCGATGAAATCCCATCTTAGTCCGAGGTGCGCTGTGTTATGATTGTCATCAAACTGTATCCTCTCGTAATCTAGAGCGTGAATTTCAGACATTCTTGCTGCCGTGGCTAGAGATAGCAGAAAAAGTGTTTTCTGTGAGAGAAATTCAAAAGTTGTCGATTCCAACTTGTTGTAACACTATATTCAGATCCCAAGCTGGGGCATGGAACTTCCGCTTTTGGTCCTCCAATCGGGAATGCTCGTAGTAAGGCCAGTAACTCTGGAGATCTTGTCAACTTGACACCCGTTCTCATGGTGATTACAGAACTAAGCGCGGCAAGATATGTTGATATCGTTGAACCTTTTAAATGTTTGTTTTGGCGCAGGTAACACAAATAGTCTGCCACTTGAGGCTGTGAAGCCTCTCTCGCTGTAAAACCTTTCTTTGCTGCATAATTTTCGAAACTGTGCCACTTGTCGTCGTACAAGTTACGAGTTGAGTAACGTAAGGCAAGCGTGACTGCTTTTGCCGCCCTGGCAGAATATCCTCTCTTGTTTAACCACATTTGTATACAGTCCATACGTGTAGTTGGAACATTGCTGGGTTTCCGTGCACTTGTTTGGTGTGAGGATGAATTAACAGGTTTGCGCGCTTGGGTAGCTCCAGTGCTGGTTGACCGATTTCTTGAATTAGTATGGGAAACCACGTTCTGCCCGGCCAGTAGGGCGCGACCAAAGTGAGTTGTAGGCTCTGTGTTTGTCTGATTTTCTGTAATACGGAGGTATTATTGCTGGCGGCGAAACGTGCACGCATTGAGGCCTTCCATGATAGACTTAGAGCGTCTGTTGCCCAAGCTTGAGGGTCTGGGACTGGTGACACGAATGTTGGTAGCTGATTGTTGAATCGAAAGTGGCGAAAAGGTCTATTAGCGGTAGCTCCTAATTGCTTGATTATCTGTGCAAATATTTCCCTGTTGATCATCCACTCTGTCGGTGATGGTAGATGAGGCCGAGAGAGCGTCTGCTAGTATATTTCTGGCTCCGGGAATGTGAACTGCTCTGACATGTAGATTTAGATCTTGTATTAAATCGAACAGTTGAAAGCTTAGGTTCAAAAGATTCAGCGATCTCGTTGAGCCTTGCTTGTTTATGTAGAACGCCACTGTCGAATTGTCTGTATGGATCATTAGGTGCGCATTTTGTAGAAATGTGCTCCAATGTAGAATGGCGTTGATTACAGCTTTCATTTCTAGACTGTTTATATGGAGTTTGCATTCTTGCTGATTCCATAATCCTGATATCGTGTGGTTGGTGAGATGAGCTCCCCAACCTTGGAGTGGTACTACGCGATCTACATATAGATGGGTTTTGAATTCCTGCTCTGCTAAACAAATCCCTTCGCAGACATTCGATTTCTTGGTCCACGATAGTAGATGAGGTCTGAGATGTTTCGGTAGACTGAATGGTTGTACATCGTTGAGATGTGCGCGTTGATGAGGACCTGTAGGGGCCGTGAACTGTATCTGCCTGTGACAGTCATGTCTTGGGCTGATGTGAGAAGACCTAGTAGGCTCTGCCATTGTCGAAGTGGTAACGGAGAGAGTAGAGCTGGTGGAATGGTCTGTTGTATCTTGAGCCAACGGTCTTCTGGTACAACGACACGGTTGCGATTTGTGATGAATCGAATACCTAGGAACTGCAGGTCTTGCGATGGTACTAGGTCCGACTTGCGTAAGTTTACTAACCATCCTAGTTGTGTTAGTAGCTTTATGATGTAATTTAACTGTAGTTTGAGATGCTGTGGATCTTGATCTACCTGTATCCCCGTCGTCGAGGTAAAAAGCACACTCGAGTAGCCCTTGATGATGTAGAAAGATGATAATCGGTTTCGTTATCCTCGTGAATAGCCAGGGGGCTGATGATATTCCGAATGGGAGTACTTTCCACTGGTAATGTAGCCCTTCTAGAGTAAACCGTAGGTATTTCCTGGAATCGGGATGAATGGGGATGTGCAGGTAGGCATCCTGTAGATCTATGCTGCCCATGTAGTCCATAGGGATCGAATCATCTGGCGTAACTGAGGTAAATGTATCATGCGCGAAACTTCGGTGGTTTGGCGTAGATAATTCTTGTTGAAAAAGCTCATGTTGTAGATGAGTCTGTATTTCTCCGTGGAGTTTTTCTTGGGAACTAGGAAAACTGGGGAGTAGAAACCTGGTTCGACGTTTGCTTGATCTATTACTTCTATGGCCTGTTTGGGTAGGAGTGATGAAACAGCCTCTCTTATCTTTGGTAGTTGTTGCGCTTGTAAATCGAACTTGAGGGGTTTGATTGTCAGCGGAGGCTTGGCCTGTAGTGGGATACGAAATCCGTGTTGAAGAATGTTGGAGACGTAAGGGTCTTGCAATATTCCCCAGTTTTCCCAGTGTAGTTGGAGGCGTCCACCCACTTGTGCTGGCTGTACTGGAACGGCTGGGGGTGGAAGACTCCAGTCGTTCCAAACCTGTGTTTCAGCATCTATAGTTGTGGAAACCTCTGGGTGTCCTGCCTCTTCCTGATCCTCCTCTATAGTTGCCATATGGCTAACGAAAAGAATCTTTACCTCTAGAGCTGGCTATCTTCCTGTCTCTTGCTCTTTGTAGGCCCGTGAACTTAGATCTGCCTGAGTATCTTTGTGAAGTCTGATCGAATGACGCTGGCTAGTGTGTCCATCGATTTAATCATAAGGACTTCCCTGGAATCCTTAGAGACTTCCTTGGCGACTTTGTCGATTTCTCCGCCAAAGATGGATGTTGTCGACCACGGGCTGTATAAAGTGGGCTGTAAAGTTCTCCCCAATTGCAGGAAGCGAGGAGGCCTTGACTGACGAGCTAAGGTCAGTGCTGCTGAAACAGATGTAAGATGATCCGCTAAAAACTGCTGATCTTTCTTTGCATAAGTAAGGCAGAATAAATCATTCTATCATCTTCCGTCGTGGAATCCGGAATCTAGTGATAAGAGTCTCATTGATCGTCCTAGATCTATTTAACCCAAAGAACATACGCCTCGTCATGGTTTCTATATGAGCCAACTTGCGATCATCCATCTTGTAAATCTTGTTCTTGACATCGCTGATGATCTTATAGTTCTCATCGATGTCCTGGGCTTTGTAGAAAGAGTCCATGTTATCGTGGAGAACTTCTTGGTATGAAAGTTGGGCAGATGTGGTGTCTGAACTTTCGTGAGCTTTCTGGAAAGCTGCATCTAGATTCTGTGGCACTGCCGCATGATCGGGTCGATCGGGGTAGAGTGATCGCATCTGGATCGTCTTCCTTCATCAAATACGTCTGCGCTGTATTGCCACTTTTAGATGGTGATGAGAGATCTAGGTTATTGACCATCCAATACCGTATCTCTGCATCGGAGAAAATGATTCCTCCATCATCCTCAATACCATCATCATTAACGAATTGTAGATGCTCTTCGACCTGCGTGTAGCTGTCTGTATGTCCGATGAGGCTTGTGGCGATCTAGTTGACTTGTGCCGCTCTATGTGGAGATCTGACGGGTGATCGACCTGGTGATGAAGCGTAAGTGGAGATCGCGTCTATGGGATGATTTTCTCGAGACTTGTGAGGCTTAACGTTGATAGCTTCGAAGCTCTTCTATAGTCCCTCGATGTCCTCTAGATGATGAAGATCTGGAATCATATGTCCTTCGCGAATGCCTTCGAAGCTTCATTTAGCGTCCGTCCGGGATCGATGATATGACCTTAGCGAAGGCCTCCGTGATGTCTGATGGTCCGAGTCCATATCTAGAGATGAAATCGAAGATGGTGATGATCTATCCGCGCCAGCGAAGGCCTTCGAAAGGCTGTACATCTAGCTCCTTCGTCAAGGTGGTGCGGGACTTCCTTCGCGAAGGTGACATCGTCCTGGCTGCTACATTGACGGGGGGTGCCTCTGGGGTGCTGTCTACGTTGGAGCCTTCGCGAAGGCTCGGACCCTGCTTCTGCAGTTTGTAGTGGTCCTCCATGATGTTCATAATTTGCCGCATCATGTCTTCTGGGATGATCTGTGACGAAGTCGTCGGCGTCTTCTCTGCGATGGGGTCCACATCAATAACGTCTGACGTCAGTGTAGAGGCATCAGGCTGCATGGTGATCTCTGCAGAAGTCACAGTCGCTGACACCGGTCGCTTCTTGTGCCGTAAGTCGGGGGATGATTATCGGCTGATCATCGTAGAGGCCCAATTCTGCTGCTGGAACGATCTCGGCTGAGAAAGTTCTCGTTGTCTTCGTAGATTTTCCTTTGGAAGTCTGCGCTGCCTTGGGGGTCCTCAGTCTGCGTTGAGATGACGTTGAGGCCCTCTTAGACTTGGTCTGCAATGACGGGATGTCTGGGGAGGCCGGTCGTTTCTTCGAGGTAACGGACTGCGTCCCACGTTCCTCTGCCGCAGGGGTCTCTAGCAGAACACCAGACGGGAGAGGGTCGATCGCTAGCAGCTGACTGGATGGAATATCTGGACTCTCTGCCATGTTTTGCCCTTGTTTGCGTGACCTATCTGCAGCACGTCTTAAGACGCAAAGATGATATTTATTAAATGCAGAATGAGATAAATTAATGCAGTAACTGCAACGTGAATTAAACGCACACGGCGTAGAACAACTAGGGCATATTACATGCGGATCAGAGGCAGAAAAACGTAATCTACAAATCGTACAGATTTTCATCAACGTAAAGCTAGCTGAACAATCACGAATACACGTGAATAAACAGTAGAAATACGATAATTAATCAATACAAATTAGTAAAGGATACTAGCTATACCTCTATAGTAACCTAAGAGAGGTAAAAACTAAGAGATTATCAAAGGATATGGTGTGTAGGAGACACGAGGCGCTCTCACATCCTGCTCACTGGGCGAAGAAGGAGAGAGTGGAGCACATGGCCAGAGGGTGGCGACACCTTTCCCCGCCAGGGGAAACAAAGGGGAGCAACTTGTGGTGAGTACCAATTAGTGATTTTATTTTGAAGGGAGCTTCAAATAAGGAGATACAAGTGTTCCACTATGTTCGCAAGAAGAAGAAGACAAGCAAAAGAGCATGAGTCAGGATAAGGAAAAATATTACAATATTATTCCATGTAAGTGAAATTGCATATCTTAAAAAATCTGCCATAGTATGACCTAATGGACTCTGCATGTTATGGCAAATAAAATTCCAAACAAGTGTTTGCCACTGATATGGCAATGTCCCCCGCTGCTAAAGAATGGAATATCTATATTCACAACTTTTAATTTTTGGGTCACATACAAGATGCCTGAAATGAATGGTGTCTGCATAATCACCCAATGTAGGCTGTCAATATCGCGTTAACAAGAGTTAAAAGCGTGGTCAAAGTGTCATGGTGACCTTGAAGATAAGGTCAAGGTCACCCAAATAAACTGGTGTCTGCGTAATCCCCCAATGTAGGCTGTCACCAAATTTCAAGACATTGGGTACAACAGTGCATGAGATATCACGTTAACAACAGTTTGAAAAGTGGTCAAAGTGTCGTGGTGACCTTGAAAATAAGGTCAAGGTCACCCAAATCGACTGATGTCTGCATAATCCCCTAATGTAGGCTGTCACCAAATTTCAAGACATTGGGTACAACATTTCATGAGATATCACGCTAACAAGAGTTTGAAAAGTGGTCAAAGTGTTGTGGTGACCTTGAAAATAAGGTCAAGGTCACCCAAATCGACTGGTGTCTGCATAATCTCCCAATGTAGTCTGTCACCAAATTTGAAGACATTGGATACAACAGTTCATCAGATATCGCGTTAACAAGAATCGGGGACGTACGTACGGACGGACGGATGTATGGACGGACGCCGCTGAATACATAGTCCCCCATTCCGCGTTGCGGCGGGGGACAATAATTTATTTCAATGTTCAATATCTGCTTGGTCACACAACATCTTGTTCAGCAAAATTTGGAACAATGACAAGAGACACTGCTGCATGTTTAACTCCATGGGGGTGATGGTGTAGCCTAGTGGTTAAAGCATTCCCTTGTCACACCAAAGACCTGTGTTTGATTCCCTACATGGGTACAATGTGTGAAGCCCATTTCTGGAGTCCCCCACTGTGATATTGCTGGAATATTGCTAAAAGCCGCATAAAACTAAACTCACTCATTCATTCCAACTCCATGGTAACTACTAGATACTCACTGTGTCCCAGGCTAAACTCTGGTTGAATTGGTACTCCACATCTTGTTTAGCAAACTGTACGTTCCCTCCCAGACCTGCATATTCCTGTAAACACAATTAATACAATCAGGATACACTCGACCTCGTAGTTGGGAGCTACATGAATGTTTTACTCTTTTGAGTGGCATTTTAGAAATTGTAAAATTAAAAATTGAAGAAAACAGAAACATAATGCTCATGAACCTCCTGGAAGATCCAGATAAGATTGTGTTGTTTGCTTGTTGTTTTTGGTTGTTTCGGTGACATTTTAGAAGTTGGGAAGAACAATATTGACAAACTTTATGGATAACAACCTATTTTATATTTCATGAGTGAGACGTTTCGATATAGATTCCTGTTCCGTTGTCAAGCGCCAAGAATCTGTATCAAAACATCACACAAATGAAAGAAAGAAGTTGTTATCAATGAAGTTTGTCAATATTGTACAAAAACATTGTTTACTGACATGCTGTTTGGATTCTGGATTAGAATAGGTCCCAAGCAAGCTATGCCTGTTGTAAGAGGCGACTTAATAGAGCAAGTGGCGAGACTCGGTGACTTGGTTGATAACACATACTCATTCTGTGATCACATGGATTTTTGCTGACGATATCAACTTCAGGATTGTCTGATGCAGGCTTTATTATTTATAGGCCAACACCACATGGCTGGAATATTACTGACTGCAGCATAAAACAAACTAACAAACAAACACTGTCATTGCAACAGTCAGTCATGATCCAGTTATATCGCATCTACAGGTACCTTCATATAACTGGATCCAGCAAACTATTTGGTGACTAATGAACATAGAGTTTTTTTCTGGGTTACATCTTCTTTTTATTCTCGAGTACAACGTTTCAGGGCTTGTTCTGTCCCCATCATCAGGTAAAACTGAACAGTAACTGTTAACTCTGGCCGTGACGTCACAATGCTTATGACGTCACGGCCAGAATTAACAGTTACTGTTCAGTTTTACCTGATGATGGGGCCAGAACTAGCCCTGAAACGTTGTACTCGAGAATAAAAAGAAGATGTAACCTAGAAAAAATCTCTATGTTCATCAAATATCATCTTCTAAAATGCCAATCAAGCATCTATTTTGTGACTGCATGAACATAAATTCATATCTAATGATATACAGAGTATGAAATAAGCCAAAAACCCAGCCAGACATCTGGGCTGGTAACTTCAAAAACTTACCAGCCCAGAAGAGATTTAACCAGTCAGTACCAGTGGGCATGTTATCGGAATATTTTTTTTCACCCGTCCATCTGTAGCTAGCTGTAGAATTAGACCATCCGGCAGAAATCTAGCCCGTCTCGGGCAGTCGGACAGGCCTTATTTCATACACTGAGATACACAACCAGCCATGTTACACATTGTGATAGAACGGTATTAACCAGCTGTCCTGATGAGGATGGGAATTGACAGGGTTTGCGCTAGATTTTGGTAAAACAATCAGAGATCCATATACATGTAGTCTGCATGTCTGCCTATAGACAATAATTGTTTGATCAGCATTCTAGAAGTTGGCAACTCAAAAATGAAGCATACAAACTTATGGATAACAACTTCTTGTTTCTTGCAAAAAGGGATGTTTCGGTGTAGATTTTCAAACTGTTATCAAACTTTTAGCTTATAGGTTGATAACAGTGAAAGAATCTACATCGAAACGTTAGCCCTGTGCAATAAACAAGAGGTTGTTATCCATAAAGTGATCATGGTGATATGCTTCATTTCTGACTCACTGTTATCTTATCGTTATCAAGCTAAAAGCAAAACCAGCCAAAAGCTTGATAACAGTGTAAGAATCTACACCAAAACATTGCTCTATACAATAAACAAGAAGATGTTAAGTCTTATGCTTCAGTAATAGACAATAAACCACCATGACAACTGATATAACACAATATGACTTAGCAACTGAGCACAACTGATAAAAAGAAACTGAGGTTAAAAGTGATAGAAGTTTTGGTTCAGAAAAGTCAAATTTGTGACAAGGTTCAAGAGTCTGCAGCATGACACATGGCAACAGAAGGCAGAACAGATTCTGAAATTCAACTTTCAATCATAAATCATAACATCTTCTTACTCACCGATAGATTATATCGCTGTCCAATAAACATGCAGCCACATCACACATACACTGGCATAGTGTCATGACATTACAAGACTACATTATTTTTGCATATTCAGCAAGTCATTTAACCACAGTGTTAGCAGCAAAGAGCAGCTGGCTAAAAATATTGATAATTGGAAAGATTGACAATGGTAAGAGTTTGTAATGAATATCGATATAACACTTCTGTCTTCAACAATACCGTACCTTATGTATTGAGTGTTGATTTATTCACACAATACACGATGTTCTGTCTTTACTAAAGATTAAGCTGTTTCTAAATTAAGTAGAGGACACTGTCAGTAATCCATGCATAAGTTTGTCACCACTCACCAGTGATGTGAAATATGATGATTTCTTTCAGACATCTTTGCATGTTTGCTCAAAGTTACTTCTCCAATATGTATCAATAATTATTGGATATTCAGTTAACTATTATCGATCTCTAACATCTCTACCGATAGCAAGCTTTAAACTGTACACAGTTTCTACCATGCTTCTGTGAGGATTCTTCCACAAAAATGAAACACCAGAAATGTACTGGTATATAGATCTGGAAAACTTTATGAAATAACGATAAGCAAAGTTTTCATAAGTAATTAAGAAAGTGCTGTTCTTGTCCACAGTAAATGTTGCGTTTGCTCATTAGATGTACACCTTTAGTAATGAAAGCAATATCTAAAAGTATCAACATGTTCAATGCAATCATTTCACAGTTTTTAATGGAATAAAGTATTTGATATTAACACTGCACTCAGCTATATAATGGCACACTGTCAATCATCACCTGAACCAGATAATCAACTGATTAACATAGTACACAACAATCCTGACCTAAAGGGAGGCAACTCAATCAAGCAAGTAACTTTGACTACCTTACCCATTTGGTTGCCTCTTAGGACTAGCATAGGTTAGCAGGGGCCTATTATAACATGGGCTGTAAATGGAGAAAGGAATACAGAGATATCTCAGTTTAGAGTTATTGTTTACACACCTGTGATAGCTCGCGGACGAGATCTCAGTTAGATGTTACCCACCTGTGATAGCTTCAACAGCGAGCCCTTGGATGGCAGAATTGGGTCATCTCTCTTGTCCCGAACAAACAGGTGCTGCAACATTTAACAAACTATCTACACAGGACAGAATCACATAATCTCTAATTATCTTCAGTATCTAGGGTCTGGGATACATCCAAGAGTGAGTGAGTGAGTTAATATTTAACTTCACACAGCAATATTTCAGCCATATCGTGACGAGAACATTTGACATTTAAATAGAATATACATATAGACATTATAAAAACCTGCCGATGAAGGACAGTAAAACAACAAGAATATCACAGATATACATGTAAAACTAGTAATTAAATCTAAAACATTTTAACTTTAGGGGACAGCACAATATCAAAATAGGCTATAGATCGCCAACAACTGAAGGTTGATCACCATACTAGGAACCATGGGGACTTACATTACTTTTGCTACCGGATACATCCAAAACAAAATATCCTCAAAAGATGGCATATAGAAATGGTAGGGGGAAATTATGGATGTCAACTTCAGTAGTACGAGGAACACAACCTTTCCGAGTATAATCTTACTCCTTTATATTCACCTGACAAATCAGTAAGAATATACTCTAAGACATCATGTTCCTCATATAGAAGTTGGCATCCGTAAATTACACCCTATATACTATATCATTGCTGGAAAATGTATTTAAATAAATTAATAATTTCCAAGATTGCTGCTTCATAAATCCATAGATTCACACAAATCTCATCACCTACTGACAGCAAGATGTCACTGCTGCAATAACGACTGGTTCACATAGACTGGTTTATGGTTGTATTTGCACTGCATAACATTTATGTTGTGTAGACATGATACTAAAGACTGACTGACTGAGTTTAGTTTTACGCCACTTTTAGCAATATTCCAGCAATATCACGGCGGGGGACACCAGAAATGGGCTTTACACATTGTGCCCATGTGGGGAATCGAACCCGGGTCTTCGGCATGACGAGCCAACGCTTTAACCACTAGGCTACCCCACCGCCCCCATGATACTAAAGATTATGACACAAAGGATAACACGCTAAAAGCTGGAAAACGATGTAAAATCTACACTGAAAGTCACTCTATGCAGGTTGTTGACCAAATCAGGAGGCACAAGTTCATGATGACTATTGTTCCTGAGGCAGTGCACTTTGAACTTTATTCTGGCATAATTTGTGCTTTCATGGAAATATGTATGCGTATTAAAACTCTTACTTTAAAAACTCTTTCAGGAAGTCATATCAACCAACATTTAGATAACTATCTTTGAAGGCAAAACGTCACACCACACTTTCTCTAAAAATACATAATGCATTTCTCTCAATAACACTATCAGCCCTCAGGGGAAGCTACCATATAATTTATTCCAAAAAAGAAATATGTATTTAGATTACAATATTAAGTAACAAAGTTCGAATGAAGTAATGCAACGTACCTTTAAATCGACATTTGCACCCTCTAACAGCTGAACATTATTTCAAGCGAACCCCTTAGAGTTATGTCCCTTTGAGCACTCGTTACGAATATCCTACTCACAACATGTGATTGAAACGAGTATGGCAAACACCAACAATACCATGTGCGACAGTTTTCGACGTACGGAGCAACTGTTTACATTCCATATATGGCAAGTGTTATCTGTTTGAGAGCTCTTCGCTTCGAAGTTTCAATTATCGATTTCAGCCAAGTCGTAAGGGATAATAAGTCTTGTATTGCATCAATAGGAAGCTAAAGTGAGTGCGTATGCCCTCAACATATAAAATATAGGCCAAAATACCATTGAAAATGTGTGACATTGTGCGTTCAATTCCTACAGAGAAGATTCCGTCTGTGTGAAACTCTCACCTGGACACTGGACTTAATGGAATGTCCAGACTGTTCCCGGACGGCAAATGAAGTGGTTCTTGATAACGCCCTCAGGTCCCTCCACACACCCTCCCACTTGATCGAGTGAGAGCCAAATATGGTTGGGAACTGCAGTAACAAATGTACATGTTCAATCTCTCCATATACTAAACTTCTTCACAGAGAATATTATTGGGAACTCTTCATGTTGCTAAGGTGTTTGGAGAACTAATCATACACTTAATCCCCACATAGGTTGCTCATGCTATTGATCACTTGATTGTCTGGCCAAGACTCAGTTATTTACAGACTGCCGCATTATAGCTGGAATATTGCTGAGTGCAGCATTAAACCAACCAACCAACCTACCAACCAATTATCCCACCGCCCACCATTTTTAAGCACGTTTATCTGTTGTGCATCTGCCCAAGAAAATGTTCCAAAAGGTTTAGTCACTGCCAAGCTGATCTTTGTCATACTAATGACAAACGACTACTCACAGTGACGTCGAATGCCATGCCCCTGTCTGTCTCCTTGTAGCCACTCCATGGGTATTCTCCATGATTCTGGTAAATGCTGCCACCGAACCTGAAGGAAGATACAACTGGAAATAACCCATCAGTGGAAGCCCGATGGCTGAGTGGGATAGATGGTCAACCTTGTGTTCTGGTGTATTCCCATTCTGCCTACACATTAAAACAAGATGATGCGGTCCAGTGATCAGGAAGTAAGGTTAATGTGCCGACCTAATCTACCTTTACTAAAATGAACTTGACCAAAAGTCAATTGAAGTCAATACGGGAAAAATGACAAGAAATAGTGTTTCTAGTATAAGGTCAATGTCAATGGAATATAATTCTTAAACTACTGATGCCATCCCTCAAGATGGTTATTCCTCCCGGGATCAATATTGCTGATCTGTGTCAAGATTCCTTGCTGATCTGTGTCAAGATTCCTAAAGGAAAGTGTGCCTCATAGAAGATAAACATACAGTGTTGGCAAAATCAGGGGTATACAATGAAATTATAAAAGCTCTATGTTTTTTTATTCTATAATATTATAATTTTGTTATATACCTCTGAGTTTCCAACATAGTATGTTTATCTCCATTCTACCATAACCGTGTTATCAAGATTAAATACATTCTGTGTTGGAAAATCAGAGGTATATAACGTGATTATATACCTCAGAATGACTTTAATTAACCAATCACAATCCAGTGTTTACTGAAGTCATGGTAGAATGTGCTGCAGTTTGCCATCTGACGTTAAGGCGATAGCTGTACCCAGCAAAGAATACTTGCTGTCCTCCTGCTTGAGAAGTGATGAATTCAACACGCTGAACATTTGCCATTGGGTGATGGGTGCTGTTAGTTCCCATTCTAATTTAACAGGAGTTTGATTAATTGACTAGACTCACTGTATATCTCTATATGTATCTTTGTTGGATTATAAGGACCAACCACAGCTTTGAAACTTTAACCTGCAATTCATTATGACCAATATCATGTTGTTTAATTTAAGTGGAATTGTATCAATCACCCTTTCCCCAAACCCCAAAACATACCCTTCAGTGACTGGCAAATGGGTTGTTCCTTTACTTTATAAGTCAAAAATCATTTCCCATTCTGCCTACATTAATTTTTGTAGGCAAATTGGGACTTTAGGCAGAATGGGATGTAACCTGACCTGTGTGCTGGCAGTTAGGTGCCTGATTCCGAGAGTCTGGGTTCGAATCCCTGACATGACTCAAGCCAACAAAAGTACTGGAATGGTACTTTACTGTGAATATGTTATCCCAAATATAACATGTTACATTTGACCACTTTCTAAATGGCAAAGTGTATTCATAGAATTACCCCATAGACAGTGATGAAAATGAAAAAAGGTACTAGGCTACCAGGACTGACAGACTTTAGGAGCTGAAAGCCCCGACTAAATTCTTCACACTCTCATTAAAGAAAACTGCTGCTGATTGTAACACATACCAACAGATAAATGTATGGATAAAATGCAGGGCATAGGGACTTACACAAATTTAGAAATATTGCCAGACACAAGATCAACCTGTCAGACCAACAAGAAGGTGCTTATTTCTACACTGCCTTTCTAAACATCCAGGTAACAATTTCACAAAGCAGTGATATGAAGTTTGAACATAACAATTAACATGCGACTATAACCAAATCGTCTTCAAAAGTTTTGCCACCCGCCCTCCCCCCCCACAACACTTTCACCCTTGGTGAATGGATCAAGGGACATAACTCTGACCATTATCAGATGAGAATGGTTTTTGAACCACTTTAAGCACAATTAAAGCAATTGGGGGATTCCCAATGAGAAGTTGTTAAGGTAAACCACATACACCATGTCTGGGTTGCCATTGAGGGGCTTGCTGAAGTTGAGATGGTATCCCCGAGACTGTTTAGTTCCGTGTGTATAATCGGCCTGGACACGCTCACCTCGACCAAAGAGGTTAGGAAGTCGCAGCCCAAACAACTGTCAGGAGAGATGAAAGTCATGTAGACAGTAGCAGTGTTCTGGTTATACAATCACATAATCATTCTCATGTTTAGATGCTTGCTAGGATGACTAGTCAATCAACATTTCTCAAAAATGCTTTTCTTTATTATGGTGTGAAAATGTGTCCATACATTGTTGCATTTCATTCGTAAATACTCACGCAACTCGTACCCCTCTCGTGGCCATGTTCACGACTTGGCCTTGCCTAAGCGTAAACGGGCACGAAGATGAAAATAGAATTTCCAAACATGGTTACTCCTTGAATATCCCATATCCCACGGGTAAAACAGCTCTACAGTCATTTCCTTCGTAAAGATGTTTCAGTGTTGAAATTTGCTGATCCTTTAGCTCAAAGGTTATGTTTAAATTGTGCTTTGCATAGTTTAGTGGAGTTTCAAAGTTCAAGGGTGCCACCATTTTCATGTTTCAAAATGCGTTTTACTATGCACGATTTGATTGGTTTGCCATGATTCTTGGCAATAATGGCATACTATACAGATATGAGTCTTTTTATAGGTCGCGGAAAGAGGCGAATAGTTATGAATGTGTTGTTTGTCACAAGACCTTATAATCATGACAATAAGCAAGGAAAGATACACTGCCTATATAGTTCATTCCACAATAACCTCTTTCACCTCATAGTGACGATAGCGTTAACAGAACTAACAAACATATACTGATATTGGTGCAATAGTGCTGTGTGGGTGTTAAACATAAGAAGCTGAATTAATAAATCAACTCACCAGACTTGCATCATTGTAGCCAATGAGCGTGTTGATCCCCCCAGACACCGGGCGCAGTTCATGCACACCAAAGGTTACTTCATAACCTACTTTCTTTACATCTGTTAATCAAGAGTTGGTCAACAATAACTACATTATGGACTTAAGTGCGGTGGTGTGTAGTGGTGGTCCGATTAATTGAAATAATCGAAGATTGGTCGCAATGACTAAACGACCAAGCAATCGATCATGTTTTCTCATAATCGAACACAAATAATTCTGGAACACTTGTTTGCATTAACAATATTTTTCACAAGGTTGGTTTTGTCTGTTACATTTCACAAACATTACAAGCTCGTTCCAAGTGAGGATTGAATTTATCTTAAAGACTCCAGGAAGTTTATGTCCCTAACATACTAGTCATCCTTTAAAGATGTTAAATTTGCACATGCATTTTGTGGAATTTGCAAAAAGACTCATAAGAACTACATGTTTTTTCTTTATTTTTATGCAGTAACAAACATAACCAGAAAAATTTGATACATGATGCTGACCAACTATTTTCGATGATTGATTGGTTGTAATGAACTAATCATCAATAATTCCCAACACTAGTGGTGTGTGGTCTTGTGCATTGAGCCCAGGTCACAAATAGATGACTGGGGTTGGGGTAATATATATCATGCAGTATGGCAGTAAAATGGATATATCAACCCTCACACCCCAATAAATGACCACACACTTTCTTCAATACTTTGCAGATTAGTGAGTGAGTGAGTGAGTTAGTTTTATGCCACTTTTAGCAATATTCTAGCAATATCACAGCAGGGACACCAGAAATGGGCTTCCCACATTGTACTCACATGGGGAATCGAACCCGGGTCTTCGGCATGACGAGCCAACGCTTTAACCACTAGGCTACCCCACCACCCCTTGCAGATTAATGAATGGTTAAATTCATACATAGCTCATTACCATTACTGAGTCTGACAGCAGTTCTCAAAGACTTGGTGAAAACCTCACAATTTCTGCTGAAGAAGGTTCTCATTGACTGGACGGTTCAGTTTTGACAGATCAACTCAAAAGTATCACAATATATCACACAGTAAACACATTTATCCCATAGGTGTGCAGAAATTAATAATTCCGACCATGACCTCAATCATTCAACTCTTTGCTAACACTAAACCAGACTGGACAATTAAATGTCTACATTCGAATTTTCTGCCTTATTTGTGTCCATCTTAACAAATGCCAACATTTCAGTTGCTGTAAATTCTTCATTTAGTGGAAATATGTATAAACATTTGTGTGCACACAGTTTGTCGCTCAGTGATGTGGAATCTTGCACTATATAATTAGCCTTATTACTCCCTTATTTTTATATATTTCATAGACATATATGTCTAACATTAGATTGACATCTCTGTATGTGAGGACCTCCTGATAGCAACAAAAATCAGTGAATGGATCTCCAGCAAGTTCCAGTTCCAGTTCTCAAAACACATCTTACCTTTACATGTGTCAATAGAAATTGAAATGTTCTTGAAGAGACCGAGTCTTTCAAATCTGTTCTTGACATCATGGCTTATTCTGATCATCTGAAAATTAGTTAATTGTTGAGTAACAAACTTTACAATAGTAAGTGAATGAGTGAGTAGGGTTTTATGTCACTTTTAGCAATATTCCAGCAATATTCAATGGGCAACACCAAAAGTGGGCTTCACACATTGTACCCATGTGGTGATTTGAACCCGTGTTTTCGGCCTGATGAGTGAACGCTTTAACCACAAGGCAATCCTACCGCCAAACCATTAGATTGATATTTTGGAAATACTTATTTTACATTTATCCAACAAACAATATAGACAGATTTTATGGAAAACAACTTCTTCATTTTGTGAGCATAACAGTTCAATACAGGTTTTTGCAGCAGCTTGACAACGGTACAAGAACCTGTCTCAAAACATCTCACTCCAGAGTGAGGGAGTGAGTTTAGTTTTACGCCACTTTTAGCAATATTCCAGCCATATCTCGGCAGGGGCCACTAGAAATGGGCTTCCCACATTGTACTCACATGGGGAATCGAACCCGGGTTTGCATGATGAGCGAACGCTTTAACCACTAAGCTACCCCACCGCCCCTCACAACTCACGAAAAAAAGAAGTTGTCATCCGTAAAGTTTGTCAACAATGTACTTTCCAAGTTCTAAAATGCTTCTCAAAGAAACAAAAATGACCAAAATATCACAGCTTATCTATAATTATATTAAAGTACTCACGTCTTGAAAGTTGCTTGCCTCAAATATTGGCTGCACTTCGTTGACAATTATGTCATTTTTGGTTCTGCCAAGACCATCAACCACAATGCGACACACTTTTACCTGAAAAAACACAATGTATATAATGATAAAGTGTATGACTGGCATCTAGAAGGTCGTAGAATATGAGACATGAAAGCATGAATCACCATATGATTCAATCAGTATTTCAGGGATACTTCCTGTCTTGTTATGGGGCTTAAGAAAGTAATAACCCCTACTTTTCTGCAGAGCAATATTTTGAGATGCTTATGAAAGACAGTTCTGCACCATAGAGATACGGCCACTCGATATTGTTAACAGTGAGTGAGTGAGTATGGTTTTACGCAGCTTTTAGCAATACTCCAGCAATATCACAGCTTGGGACACCAGTAAGGGGCTTCACACAATGTACCCATGTGGGGATTCGAACCCGGGTCTTCAGCATGACGAGCGGACACTTAAACCACTAGGCTACTCTGCCACCCTATTGTTAACAGAAGTGTGTGAACCTCATATTAGTTAGTATGTGAGTGAGTTGCCGCTTTTGGCAGTATTCAAACAATATCACAGCATGGGACACCAGACAAAATGGGTTTCATACATTGTACCCATGTGTGGAATTGAACCTGGGCCTTCGGCGTGATGAGCGAACACTTTAACCACAAAGCTACCCCACCGTCCCTGAACCTCAGATTATGTTGAAAATTAATCCCAACCAACTCCATCACAATCCATCAGAACAGAACAGAACAGAACTTTATTGCTTTTCAGGCCGTAACAGGGGTGGAAATAACTTTAAAATTGCTAGTGTACTGCGGTACAGTGGCTAATGTAAAATCATTTGCCCTGATAATTTTTTCACTATACCAGCCGTTTTCTTGTTGACTTTTTAAATAAACAACATAATTAAGGTTGGAAAGTCAACTGGACACCGGTACAGTATGATTTACAAATTTACTTGCCCAACAGAAAAAAACACTGGACTCGGACGTCGGGCAATGGGTTATTTCCACCCCTGCGTAAAGACAACAGCATATGAAGGTCACAGTGATTATACAAATGTATACATTTTGGTCACAGTGATGCTCAAATGTTTACTACCAGCACTCATTATTCAGGATATTGAGGAACATTTCACTTACCGGTATCTTTTCAAAGGAAATCTCCCTTTCAGTGTCAGGTTGCTGGTCCTGCATGCTGCTAGCCTTCTCCGGCTCCTGCATCAAGAAAGATTGATTTGGTTTGGGTTTGGGTTTTTTTCGTTTAAGCAGTACTCAGCAATATTCCAGCTATATGGTGGTGGTCTGTAAATAATCCAGTCTAGACCAGACAATCCAGTGATCAACAGCATGAGCATTGATCTACGAAAGTGGGATACGATGATATGAGTCAACCAAGTCGGCAAGCCTGACCACCCGACCCCGCTAGTCGCCTCTTACGACAAGCATGGGCTACTGAAGGACAATTCTAACCCGGACCTTCACGGGTCTGAAGATATGGAAGACTGGTGAAAGAGTATATGTATTAGATGTAATGATTGGATGATTTTCTTCTACAACATGTTGATTATGCATAAAAAAATTCACACAACAAAATCAATACTTTCGCGTCATGGGTTTCCGTGGTATTAAGAAATTTACGACTATGAATATGATCGCTCATATTGCCAAGTCATATAAACATAACGTAGTGTTAGACGAAATACCTTTGTATCATTTAATGTCAATAAAACACTGATGTCATTCTGAAGTTCATTGTTGTCCGTACCGGACGACAGGCAGCCATTGTGCACAAACTCTGGTGACGTCATATGTTTCTGTGGTATTTCCTACAGATCAAATTACGGGCGCACAGCACATGTCACAATCTTACACATTGTCAACAGCCAATCCGGGAGTGTCAATGTAGGTTTACAGTAATAACGAAGTTGATAAATTGTAATACAGTAAACGATTTTGTAGAATTAACACAATAGTCACATTTCTTCCGCATGAATTTCCAGTTCATAAAATATGTAAAGTTGATCAACGGGATACACGAAATGAAAAGTGAAAAAACAACTTAAGAGATGACCCTATCGGGCTTCCATAGTTTAAAAAATAGAGCTGGCATTCCCCCCCTTAGGTCGCGTGATTGTTTTTATTGATGGCATCAGCTAGCAGACAAGCGATGTTTGGAAAACTTTGAAGTAGAATGAGTTTATAGAAAATGTTTGTAAAGATCGCACAAAAAATGCATTACGTGCTAGACATAAAATTGCATTAGTTTTTAATAGTAGATGACTGTACGTACGCAAATTGATGAAAGTCTGAACATTTTTTGTTCAGAGCCGTGCCATTCAACTGATGAACGTAAACAATCGATAGGAGGCGCGATTTGGTGAGTGGCTCGTGAGAAATTATGTCATTAGAAAATGCCACAGAAACATAGTACCACAGAATCATATGACGGCATCTTATTTATCATTATGTATAGTGTCAAACTGATGGCTACCCATGTATCTACTAAACTTTCAGAAGTTAGTTCTATTGATCATGAATTCTTCCTTGAATTTACATCTCCCAAATAATATGTGCATTATTTTGTGGATTTTGTGGTATTATATTCAGCGACACAGAAATATCTCATTTTGTCTGTTATTTTCGTTGTGGATAATGTAACAACTGACACCCCACTGTAAATCAGGATTTAGTTAGTAAATATATAAGCATCATGTTGGGGAAATGGACTGACATTTACAGAATAATTATCAACATGGATACAAAATTAATGAAGCATGATGACTGGTGTAGAACTGTAGAATACGACCATCAAGCATCATGATGCAAGAGTGAAAGCAATGCAGTGCTTGAAAGTGCTACACATGCACCGCATGGAAACTGTAGCTGTGACAGTTAATAAAATCAAAGTACAGCGAGACGTTAAACAAATACGCTATAAAAGTCTTTGACTTGTGAGTTTCTGCAACCGCAAATTCGCTCATTCTTGGCGTGAACTTGCGAAGGTGACTCGTTGCTATACCGGTCTCTTTTTAGCCCCGTCGCTAGTAAAATACTTTCTTACGCTTAATGCTATTTTATCTGAGCATTACCACGGTATAATGGCCCGGTAATAAAATACATAACTGAAACGGTCATTTGTTCACAAAACAAGCTTGTCACCTTTGCATGCACAGTTCCCATGTCTTCACGAAGTTGCAGGTGCGTCCGACCTGAAACGCAAGAGTCACCCAAGGGCGAGTAACTCTAAACAGGTCTGATTCATCAAATGTGTTATTGCCGTACCAAACAAAAGGTGTTCAAATCCATGCATTGTAAATAAAACGTAGTAAAACGTCGCATGTAAAAAAAGCTTCTAATGTCACTTTAGTTGTAATATTCCATAACTAAAGCTAAAGGTGATATATATATAATGATATATATGCATTTGTAACGCAGACATGTGTTGACACACAAAATCGGGTTAAAAACAACAAAAACACAAACAACAAATAATTATTCAAGCATATGTGACATTATAGAGGTGAACTCAAAGCGCCTGCTTCTCTCAAATCAATAATAATAAAATAGAAATATTTTCGCCACCGCACATGCAGCTCGCAATTTTAAGAAGTAATTAAATGAAGCAATATTCGAGCAATATCATGGCTGAGGACACCAGAAATGGGTTTCATTGTACCCATGTTGCGGATCTAACCCGGGTCTTCGGCATGGCGAGCAGACGCTTAACCATCAGTAAAATGTTACCTGACTAATCGCTATGACCATATGGGATTTGAAAAAAACACACCAAAGGTACAACACTTCAGATACTTATTACTCAGTGTGACGATTCTTTAAATATCTTTATGATCATGATCTTATCCAGGCATAAAAGCATGATACTTTCCGAAATGAGTGAGTGAGTGAGTTTAGTTTTACGCCGCTTTTGTCAATATTCAAGCAATATCACGGCGGGGGGACACAGAAATGGACTTCTTACATTATATTTGGGATTACACTTTCTCAGTACAGAGTCTAGCACATTTTAAAGCTTGGGTCCCATCCGGGATTCGAATCCCCACTCTCAGAGTCAGGCACCTATAGCTTATCGCCAGCGCACACAGTCAGCGATCTAACCTACTAGTTAGCCCGCGTTCCACAAAATGGAAGCGGGAAATCTGGTAGTCTTTATCACGTATCTTGTGCATCTATCTGACAAGTGGCCGAATGGAGTAAAAGTACGTTGAATACCGACAGAAAAGTTTCAATATCTATTGATAGCATGTGAGTAAATATTCATTGCTTAAAGTTTACTGTGTGTCTGGACTAGTCGTTGCACTTAACAAAATCAGTCAGAAAGCTCTGCTAAGGTGTCGAAGACTCTCTAGAGATTGTGTTGGAATAACTACGGCTTTGAAATAACGTTTTGATTCGCATTTAGAAGTTGGTGTGATGAACAATGGGGAGAGTTCTATGGATATACAACCTTTTTTTAACGTTTCAGTGGAGCTTCTAACACCATTATCAAGCAAGTTATGTACAATACTGCAGGAAAGTCTATATATACATGAGTGAGTGAGTGAGTTATTAATTAACGTCACATTGGCAATATTTCAGCCATATCGTGACGAAAACACTTGAAATTGAAATAGAACATATATAGAGATTATGAAACCTGCCGACAAAGGACAGTAAAGCAACTAGAGTATCACAGCTATATATGTAAAACTAGTAATTGAATCTAAAACATTTTAACTATAGGGGACAACACAAAATATAAATGGGCTATAGATATATATAGATATATATATATATATATATATATATATATATATATATATATATATATATATACATGAGTAAAGTTGAATAGTAAGTTGATGATGTTTAAACAATTAATGAGGTTGATGTACAAGGTTGGAGGATGTTTACACAAAAGGCAATTAATGTGTTATACAAGCATAATTGTAGTGATATCATGGCGTGGGCCTAGATTTTCGAAACTCTCTTAGCACTTAGATAGTCGTAAGCGCCATACATTAATATTAACTTACGGCTATCTTAGCGCTAAGAGAGCTTCGAAAATGTAGGCCCAGGATAATAATAGGATTAAGATTGCTTGGTTATGAGTTGGTGGTAGGCAGTGGGGATGTAATATCCTTGGTCTCTGTTTATGGCCGGTTTGAGTCTCTTGATGTGAATAGTTTCTAGAAGTTACCTGATCTTGTAGAGGGTGTGATTGCTGGTGAATGCATTGATGCTGGTCCTAAGGATGTTGTGGTCTGGGTGATCTTGGGTGTGGTCAGAGATGGCGGATCTGGAGGCTCTATTAATAATAAAAAAGTTGTACATCCATTGAAATCTCACCGTTGTTCGGCTTTGAAACACGCTCCAGTTACAACACACGTTGTGCCAACTTGATGTGGGACGAAAGACCAAAGTGATGCTGGTCTCAGTCGTTTGCTACTTTGGTTGAACCCACGAGCAAGGGTATGAAGTTGACAAATCTACAAAAACAATCCAGGAGAACCGGAATTCGAACTCATAATCACAGGTGCCTGGTGTGCCAAAGGGACAGCACTCTGCACAGCTAGAGGAATACCTTGGATGCGTTAGATTAGTGAAATCACCATACAAGTTATCTTCCCCTTGTCAATGTAGGTGCGGTGGGGTAGCCTAGTGGTTAAATCGTTCGCGCGTAACGCCGAAGACCCGGGTTCGATTCACCACATGGGTACAATGTGTGAAGCTCATTTTTGGTGTCCCCCGCCGTGATATTGCTGGAATATTGCTAAAAGCGGCGTCAAACCACACTCACTCACTCATTTGAAGCAGCACCTTGGGGCTAACATATTCAGTCATCCTTACGTCTGTTGTTTTAATCTCTTTGACAACTAGTGAATCTGACTGAACTGAAGAAACCGCCAGAATAGTACCCCAGCATGTGCCGTTGAGATTAACATCCAATGATCGAGGGAAACAAAGCACTTTGAGCATGCATGTAGATGAGATGTACTATATAAATACCCAAATAATACAAATGTATTGTTATTCATAAACGCTGACATTAAGGTCATCATCAACAGGTAGTTAACTAAACAAACTCTTGGAAATCGGCGAAAGTCTGCAAGATCGATAAGTCGACTTCGAGTGATGGCATCACTGTGGTTGGTAATCTCAACGTTTAAGAGTGAAACTGAAACCTTGCGGAAATCTGATGGATTCAAAGTTAACTGAAACTCAACGGAAACTTGTTGGAGTGTGGGTAACGGAAACCTTGCGGAAACCTGTTGGAGTGTGGGTAACGGAAACCTTGCGGAAACCTGATGGATTCAAAGTTAACTGAAACTCAACGGAAACCTGTTGGAGTGTGGGTAAAGGAAACCTTGCGGAAACCTGTTGGAGTGTGGGTAACGGAAACCTTGCGGAAACTTGTTGGAGTGTGGGTAACGGAAACCTTGCGGAAACCTGTTGGAGTGTGGGTAACGGAAACCTTGCGGAAACCTGATGGATTCAAAGTTAACTGAAACTCAACGGAAACCTGTTGGAGTGTGGGTGAAACCTTGCGGAAACCTGTTGGGTGTGGGTAACGGAAACCTTGCGGAAACCTGTTGGAGTGTGGGTAACGGAAACCTTGCGGAAACCTGTTGGAGTGTGGGTAACGGAAACCTTGCGGAAACTTGTTGGAGTGTGGGTAACGGAAACCTTGCGGAAACCTGTTGGAGTGTGGGTAACGGAAACCTTGCGGAAACTTGTTGGAGTGTGGGTAACGGATACCTTGCGGAAACTTGTTGGAGTGTGGGTAACGGATACCTTGCGGAAACCTGTTGGAGTGTGGGTAACGGATACCTTGCGGAAACTTGTTGGAGTGTGGGTAACGGATACCTTGCGGAAACTTGTTGGAGTGTGGGTAACGGATACCTTGCGGAAATAGTAATAGTACGTCCAACTGAATTGAAGATACCGTCTTATAGTGTCCCAGCATAAGTCACTGTTGACATATCTAACTGTTGATCTCCACATGCCACAATCTACACCCGTCACGCGAGACACTAACATTAAAACTCTACAGGTACATACAGTGAAACAGCCCGTGGTCTATAATATACGTGCTTGAGATACATGTTATCTTAAAGTACTTCAACCTAAGTACAGTGGAAACCGCCTAAGTAAAGACCGCTTAACTAAACAGACCTGATAAGTAAACACTTTTCTTTGGTCCCGGGAAATTTCTTAGCATATATTAGCATACCCCGCTGGTCAGTCTCTTGGATAGTCTGTCATACAAATTCTGAAACCAATATGCCTAAAACAGCTCATGTAAGTCTACAATATGGGGCCAGTCTTGATTACCACAGTGTCTGAAAATGAAGAAAGTCTCTGGGCTACTTTTAAACATATTTAATAGATTTAATATAGGATTTTTTTCCTGTAAAATATGTTCATTTCAGAGACTAGTTGTTCGGCTATCTCTTGGTTGACTTTATGATGAGTAGGGGAAGGGGATGCTAGTTAATTGCAAACAAATAATTCAGTCAAAGTTTAGTGAGTGAGTTTAGTTTTACGCCGCAATATGGCGGTCAGTCAAAGTAATTTTCTTGAAGCTGATAATTTTTTCATGATAATTAGTTAATTTATTATAATATGTGTTGACCCCACTCCTTTTTCCACACATGATAGTCATGTTAAGGGAATCATTTGGTCACATGTTTTCTTCAAATACTACATTTTCCGAAAAGCTTTATTTTGTTGTTTGAGAACCAAAAGCAGTCAGGTGACCTGGGCCTAGATTTTCGAAGCTCTCTTAGCGCTAAGATAGTGGTAAGTTAATGTTAATGCATGACACTTACGACTATCTTAGCGCTAAGAGAGCTTCGAAAATCTAGGCCCTGACCTCGATCTGAGATCATATCTGTTACCTGCTCCCTGCTCTAAGAGACGCCCAGGTAGTGGGTCACTTGCCTGAGTACAATCGGTCGCAGTATGAAGCTGTTGCTTGGTTCACACATCACGCCAGGGTTGGAATTGGACTAACGGTGTGATCTCCCAGTAGCCGGGATTCTCCAATGTGAGTACACATGGATAAATTCTTTCTGTGTATCAGAGATCGACACTGCTTTTCATTATGATCGGTAGTGCTATTCATTATGACATCTCCACGTCTACCTCCATTATCAGGATTGTACTTTTGTAGTCTGTTTTGTGGTGTGTGTATGTGTGTTTGTGTGTGTAGGTGTCTTTCTGAAAGTGTAGGTCTTTGTGCCTCTGTGTGTGTCTTTAGTGTGTGTTTGTATGTTTGTGTGTGTCTTCTGTGTGTGTGTCTGTGTACCTCTGTGTGTGTCTTTAGTGTGTTAGTGTATTCTGTGTGTAGGTGTCTTTGTACCTCTGTATGTGCCTTTCGTGTGTAGGTGTCTTTCTGCATGTGTCTGTGTGTCTTTAGTGTGTAGGTGTCTTTCTGTATGTGTCTGTGTGTCTTTAGTGTGTAAGTGCCCTGTGTCTGGGTGTCTTTACTGTGTAGGAGTCTTTCTGTATGTGTCTGTGTGCCTTTAGTGTGTAGGTGTCCTCTGTCTGTGTGCCTTTAGTGTGTAGGTGTCTTTCTGTATGTGTCTTTGTGTGTGTTTAGTGTGTAGGTGTCCTTCTGTATGTGTCTTTGTGCCTTTAGTGTGTATGTGTCTTTCTGTATGTGTCTGTGTGTCGTTAGTGTGTTGGTGTCCTTCTGTGTCTGTGTGTCTTTAGTGTGTAGGTGTCTTCTTTAGGGGTATGTGTCTGTGTGCCTCTGTGTGTCTCTAGGTGTCTTTCTGTATGTGTATGTGTGTCTTTAGTGTGTATGTCTCCTTCTGTATGTGTCTGTATGGTTTTAATGTGTAGATGTCCTTCTGTATGTGTAAGTGTCTGTGTGCCTATGTGTGTGTCTTTAGTCTGTAACTGTCTTTCTGTATGTGTCTGTGTGCCTCTGTGTGTGTCTTTAGTGTGTAGCTGTCTTTCTGTATGTGCCTGAGTCTTTAGTGTGTAGCTGTCTTTCTGTATGTGTAGGTGTCTATGTGGCTCTGTGAGTGTCTTTAGTGTGCTAGTCTGTGTGTGTGTCTGTGCTTGTACAACTACGAACAAATGCCAATTTTAAAGTGATAACCTCGTACCATGCTGCAGTATAACATGAATTGCCCACTCAGACCAGTGTACTGACCCCGTGGTAACTAGCCCCTCTTGTATACCCTTAACCTCACCTTCTATCACCTGACCTCTTCTCACCGGACACGCGCTTTATTTGATTTGATTACTTATTATGAAGGGCAATAGATATTTCATACATTCATTTAAAACAATTAAATATCTTCTTAAGAAATGATAGCCTTAAATCTGTTACTTTTAAGATCATCACATGCATGTCCTTTCTTTATCAAAATAATTCAAGAACCGCCTTTTCAATTATTTTTCATTTAAAAGAGTCAAAGCCACTCTGTGAAACACACTAAACCTGTCGCACATAATTCAGTTCGTCTTTTTACTGTACCGACCTATATATCAAAGGCGTCTACATGGCATGCGATATAACAGGTTATTATGACCAAACAGCAAGGCGGTTGCCTGTATTGGTGTAGTTATCTCTTAATAACCTTAAGAGACACATCACGTTCAAGTGTGACCTGCTGAAAGATTTTTATATTTGAATTGTATGAACACCCTTTTGTTTGCCATCGACCGCTGAGTTTTGACTGGATATACGTTTTGCATATAAATATCACATGACATTATAAAATCTGCAACCCTTATTATTGAAAGTAAATATGGCGCTAATAGTTTTCACTCAGTCACCCTTTTACGCGATGAAGGGGTGTTCAATCTTAATTGTCACTGGCTCTAATGGCCTCTCCGATTTTACCTAATTCGTTTTATACCGCGGTGACTGTACCGTTTCACTACAAGGTGTTCCCCCCAGTCGATGTTTGTTTTACATAACAACCTCTCAACCTTGACAACAACGGAGTGTCACTGCATTAATCTATAATCAAGTTCCACGATAATCCACGTGGTACTACCTAAAGCGTCGTAAGACCAACTCACGAATAATGAGTGAGTTTAGTTTTACGCCGCTTTTAGCAATATTCCAGGATTATCTTGGTCGGGGACACCGAAAATGGGCTTCACATATTGTACCCATGTGGAGAATCGAACCCGGATCCTCGACGTGAACGATTTAACCATTTGGCTACCACACCGCCCCCACGGATTATGAAAAACACAACGGCACAGCTAGATTCTTCTGAGCGTCGTCGGAGCTTTCCAGAAAAACTTATTCAAAGTTTAGGGATCACGTGTTTGTGTAATGTCTTCAGTGAGTGAGCATGGTTTTACGCCGCTTGCAGCACTATTCCAGCACCACCATGGCGGGGTACACCAGAAATGGGCTTCACACATTGTACCCAAGAACCTGGGTCTTCTGCGTGAGGAGCAAACGCGTCAACCACTAGGCTACCCCACCGTAGCTGTGGGAGAGTCTTACACTTTTGTGGGAGAGTATGTAAACGTAGTAATATGCAATAGATAACATCATTAATCTAAAGACCACTGACATAAACTAATGAAAAAGGTATTTTTGCAGCTGTGCATTTCATATGTACACTTTCATACAGAAATCAGGGCGGTGGGGTAGCCTAGTGGTTAGTGCATTCGCTCATCCCGCTGAAGACCAGAACGATGAGCATCGTTCTACGCAATGTGTCAAACAAGTCAGCAAGGCTAACCACCCGATCCCGTTAGTCGCCTCTTACGACAAGCATGGGTTGCTGAAGATCAATTCTAACCTGGATCTTCACGGGTCAGTAAATTTGGGGCTTAGTCAGGTCAAACCCAATGACAGGTCTTCGGCGTCACATAGAACCTCCCAAACCTAAATCATTCCAGCTATATGGCGGCGGTCTGTAAATAATCGAGTCTGGACCAGACAATCCAGTGATCAACAGTCAGGAAACACATGGAGACATGGCTTTGCTTTCGTTTACATTTTGTAATTCGTGTTTAGCAAATGCAAAATATCACCATAAATATAAACGAATTGAGGCGATCTCTGTGAAGATTTTCTTTAAGAATCAGTTTGGCGATTGCGATTGACTGGGTAGAAAAAGAACCCCTGTTTTACTTGACCAGCAGACTTCATCCAGGCGAAGGAGTCGAATGGATTGCTATTCTGTTCCACACACTGCATTTACATGTACATGTGTACACGGGGTTTCTGAGAATGACTCTTACTAAATGACCAACTCTGGGCAGACTTGGTGAAGGACTTGGTTTACAACTGCTGTACAGTACAGCAGTACATCGGCATCAACAACATCAATCTCAAATTTCAGATTGTGTTCAACAACCTTGGCACGCTTACAATAGCTGCTGAATTCCTTGCTTTCATCATGGGTGTTGGCGTGCATAACCGGAGGATCACCAGACAAATAAATATGTGCAAAAGTACACAATAAAATTCTGTCACAAAGAGTCTCCATTAATCCACCCCCGAACGTTAGGTCATCATTTTTTATGTGTTTCACGTAGCCATCAAATTCTGAACATGGGTCAGTCAGGCGGTCGGGAAAAAAATTAATAAAGACAAAATTATCCGAATAATGTTCTTGATTCTCATTTATTGTAATTCTTATTATAATTTCTCGCGTTTTGGGACTTGTGACAGAGACTGATTAAAACATTTTAGATAGATAAACATTATATATGACGAGGCGGTACGTTTTGGGTTCGAGTCGACGGTGTTGGAATGAAATTAAAGCTTGGTGTTTTGGGGGTTTGTTGTTAGTGTTGTTGTTTTGTTTTTTGTTTTGTTTTGTTTTGTTTTGTTTTGTTTTGTTTTGTTCTGTTCTGTTCTGTTCTGTTCTGTTCTGTTCTGTTCTGTTCTGTTCTGTTCTGTTCTGTTCTGTTCTGTTCTGTTTTGTTTTGTTTTTTTGTTTTGTTTTGTTTTGTTTTGGGTTTTCTTTTTTTTTTTTTTTGTTGCTTTGTTTTTGTTTTGTTTTGTTTTGTTTTGTTTTGTTTTGTTTTGTTTTTGCGTTTTGTGTTTTGTTTTGTTTTGTTTTGTTTTTTTTTTTTGTTTTTTTTGTTGTTGTTTTTTGTTTTGTTTTGTTTTGTGTTTTGTTTTGTTGTTTTGTTTTGTTGTTGTTGTTTTTATGGGGTTTTTTTGGGGGGGGCGGCAATAAAATTACAAGGTTCGGTGTCTGACGATGAGAAACACAAAAAATTAAAATTCTGCTCTTAGCAGAGTATAATATTTATGCGTCAGTGTCGTCAGTTACGGGCGGTTGTGTGCTGAGACATTTGACCGATACATTGTTAGCTTGCAGAAGTTTCTACTTGAAGTACACAAACTACTTAAAGTTTATATATTTAGAAAGATGAGCATTCATACATACCATTCATAATTCAAACGATACGTAAATCGTACTTGGCAAATAGTTATTAACAGTTCTATTGGGGATATCAATATGCTACCCTCCTCTCGCATGGGTCGAATTGAGAGGATTAAGATGGAGTCCGAATCATAAAACCACATCGTGTTTTGTTTACCAGCAGGTCTAATAGAATTTGTAAGTTGATGCTCGACAATGTCTTTCTTGAGCATTTGGAAGTTGAACACGCCCACAAAAACGTTTTATTGATAGCAACACCTCTTAAGGTGAGTGACAACTATTAGTTGAAGAGATTTTTAGTCAAGGTACACTTATGCAACGTAGGCAAAGGAGATTACATGAGAAGGCCACACAGAAAATAGGTTGTGGTTCCAATTTACGAGAAATTAATTAACATGAAAGAGTTTGAAAAATATTATATAACTGATTGCTGTACCACTCACCCTAAAAAGTTGTATGCATGTACTGCATCTTCTTAACAAAATCACATAAAAACAGGTAAATGCTTTCATTCGTATTGTGTCTTTGAGCTTCAAATCACAGAACAACTCCTTTAAATTGTGAAAAATTAAATGTATAAATTTGATCATTTTGTTTGCTTCATAGAACGGTTTATTAAAGCAAGTGGGGTAATTCAGAGGGTAAAGCATTAGGGTAGGCAGTATTCTAGGGTCAAAGGCATAATCGGAACCACACGTTTTTTATGCTTGGTCTAATAAATGCGCGTTCATTTTTCTCTTGTGGTTTAAGAAAGAACATGCTGCTTACAAAATCACACTACTAATGCTCCTATTTAAATTATGATACACTGAGAATAACTGGTTTGATAGACAGCCCCGAATGTCTCTACTTCTCCTGCTATTACTAATAGCATGTCCACTTCATCAGAAGAAGAAATGTAATGTTCAGCAGCATCAAATTTAAAAACCAATTTTAAACGATGCTGGTCATTTCATTTGCATTAGAATATTCAATACAGCACCTTTCAGTCAACAGGCAACTTTTTAGTTAGTTAGAGTTTTATTTACGTTTGTTAGGCCACAGGCCCACAGTACAAAACATTTCAATATTGTGATTACAGAGGGTTGGTTACAAGCAAAAACCAGTAAATCAGGGAAGCATCATCTAATATTGCCAACAGTGTAGCCAGCACATTTATCTATCTTCATAATAATTCCTTTCATGGATCAATCCGAAATATGAAAACATACTGTTTATATATACGTTGTAATACTTTTAATGGCACCAATAACTCCTTCTCCTACTCTCCCTTCTAACTCTGGTCTTTTCTTTCTAACAGGAATTATGAAGCGACTAAGAAAACTGGCCCTTTGCCTGTTCATAACTGTGGCCGTGTGTACATGGTTCTGCAGCCATATTGGTCGCCTGTTTCTCCCACTTCAGCGAATATCACCATGCCTGGCTGAAACCAGACCCTGTTGTGTTGAAAAGACCAACATATCGCTCGTACAACGCCATGTAACAAAACCAGAAAAAAGTAGTTCTGTAGTGGAGGATCTGTCATTTCCGGTTGCGAGCGGTACCATTTCCACGACTGTGGATTTAAATGCGAATTTTCACTCCAAGATAAAAAAGGTCTGGATCCAGAGGCCGTGACGATTTATGAACATGGACCGGAGTCAATTTCACATATATGGAATTTAACACAGAATATAGTCTATTCGCCGTAAGGTTTGGTATCTCACACAAAGAGACGAGGGCTCTGATAACAAAACCAATGTGGTATATGACGCTGTGAATATATTCACATATTGTTTAGGGATGTTAGAATATATCCAATTGGTCTTATTCTCATAATTGTTGATGGTTCTGTGCTGTTTTTAGCAATATTAAAGCAATATCACCTCGGGGAACACCAGAACTTCACACATTGTACCCATGTGGGGAATCGAACCTGGGTCTTCTATGTGACGACCAAAGCTTTAAGCACTAGGCTATCCCGCCGCCCCTTAATCTAACAGAAGTTAGATGGATGGTGACATGCTGCTCATGTGATCCATACATGATAAAATGTTTTTTCAAAATTATTTTTTGGGTGTGGGGTTGTTGTTTTGTTTTGTACACAGGATTTATTTGTTGACAAAATTTTATCAGAAGGAAACGTGAGCATAGAATGTATAAAAACGAATGGTGGTATTTGCTTTGTAGACTAGCTTCAGCAGTTCATATGAGGTTTGTCTGTCTTGAAGAATCTCAAGGAGATCAAAACGGTAATGTTGCCGTAGTTCCAATGTCGTTCATCTGCACACAGACAATTTATTATACTACCTTTATTCACATGATAATTGTACCGGGTTCGGGTGGGGATGGTTGATGTCCCATCCCAACCGTCAGTTTCAAGAAATCTTGAGACAAAACGGATTTAAAAAGAAAACTTTAACAAATAATAAAAGTCAATGGAAATCTTTACTTGTTATTATTTACAAACTTACAATGGCAAATCATAAATGTGCTAACTGCAAGACGTATGCTACAGCTGATCTAACACTTGTCAGTTTTGATAGTGCATATTCATTTTTATGATTTCTGGATTTTAATTAATCTATTTTAGAAAGAATAATTACTATGCGTAAAGACAGAGCCAATAATCTTGCACGGTAATTACTGTATATATTTAGTGGATTTAATGCATATAACATTTTTTTTGAAGACGTAATGGACCTGTCACAATTCTCCACTTCCTAATTCCATACGAGTTGCGCATTGACATTTCTTTCATATGCAGTCGTACGCACCATACGCACCTCATATGCATCTCAATCGTTTTGTGCAGGTTTTATGTACGCCAGCATGCACACAGTAGGGTCCACTACGCGTAATAGTTTTGAGCATGCACAAAACTATGCTGCGTACGCTGCGCGTACGCTATTACGCAGGTCATAAGTTATAAATACGCAGTGCTTCTGTCCCGCATCGGTCGAGTCTGCTAGATGATCCGTTCATCTATCTAGATGATCCTTTCATTAACATAGATGATCCTTCCATCAACATAGATGATCCGTTCATCTATCTAGATGATCCTTTCATCTATCTAGATGATCCTTTCATCAACATAGATGATCCTTCCATCAACATAGATGATCCTTCCATCAACATAGATGATCCTTCCATCAACATAGATGATCCTTTCATCAACATGGATAGATGATCCTTCCATCAACATAGATGATCCTTCCATCAACATAGATGACCCTTCCATCAACATAGATGATCCTTCCATCAACATAGATGATCCTTTCATCAACATAGATGATCCCTTTATTTACCGTGATGATAACTTACTCCCACTTAGATGATCCTTTCATCTACCTTGATGACCCCTTTATCTAACTGGATGAACCTTCGTCATAGATGATACTTGCATCTTCGTAGAAGATATTTTAATCTACATAGATGATGTTCTTTGAGGGGCATTTTAGAAGTTGTGAAGATGAAGGAAAACTAAGTTCTGTGGATAGTCAACTACAAAATTAGGAAACTCCTTGAAGCCATACACATCCAACGCCACAACCCCACCATGAATCGTGACCAAGGTTATTTCATCTCCTCAGCCTATCACCACCTAATCAAAGACCACCACCAGTAATCCTTCCATACCTCCTTTGTCCATCTGGCTACCACGCTCCCCTTTGTGCTTGCAATCACAACTAGTGTACTTCAACCTACTTACTTGTCATCATCCCATTGTACGTCAAACTCATCAATTGTATAAACTAAACTCTAATTACAATCAATCACTCTGTACATCAACCTCCTCTGCTCAAATCACTTATCAAATATCCAATGTACACCAAGCTTGTTAATTGTATATACTCACTATGCAGCAATGTATATATTCTCCTTGTTACAAATTGTTGCATCACTTGCTTGATAACGGTGTTAGTACCTACACCGAAACGTCGCACTCATACATAGGTGATGGATAAACGCATATGAAACCTCTGGATTAGTTAATAAAGATCGATTTTCTTTTTTACTTTTAACTTTGATATACATGTACTTTGATGGGTAATGTCAGAACGGTCAATGACACTTCATTCAAATATGTGGAAGTGTTGTTTTATTCATATAATTATATACAAATATCCGGGTTAGAATTGGTCTTCACCAACCCATGCTTGCCATAAGAGGCGACAAACGGGATCATGTGGTCATGCTCGCTGACTTGGTTGATAAATGTCATTGTATCCCAATTTCGTAGATCGATGCTCATGATGTTGATCACTGGTTTGTCTGGTTCAGACTTTACAGACCGCCGACATATAGAAGGAATATTTCTGATTGCGGCGTTAAACAACAAACAAAGTATTTTCTGCATAATGAGTAAGTGATTTACAGACTAAAAAGGTCCTACGTTAATAAGAGATGATATTAGAGCATAAAAGCTGCCGACAAAGGACAGTAAAACAACTAGAATATCACCATTTGTAGTGACTGAAACAGGTCATACTTAATGTTAAAACGATGCCGTGACAGGAATTTCGGGTTCTCACACAGCATCCTTAACATTTGCAAACGTTTTGATTGAAAAATGGTTCAGAGATAGCTGTCCACGTGCACACTCGATCACAGGCGAGCCACTCAGAAGACGGGCTACATTCGTCACTTCCCCACAAATTCCAGAGATAGTTTTGGAAATGGCAAATGGATTACGTTCAATAAGCAGATCATCTTTATCTTCGATGAACAGGAATCTAGACCATGAATCAGCATTTGAGAGATATTTCTACTAGATTTTGTCTATTTCATATAAGCGTCTCTTCTTTTCATAACGAAATGAACCAGATTGTTTTGGATCCATGATAAATATAAATGATTCGGTACCCCTGTTCGCCATCCAACCACGGAATGTCAACAAGGACATGTCAATTAACACCTGATATCCGAGATGCCGAGAATATGATTAGGTTAGCTGTATTTATGTGCCAATTCAATGTCAGAGTGGTTCGGCCCATGACAAGAAATTGGAGATGTACATTTTTCGGAGGTCAGCATCACCAGATTGGCCCATGAGCGCCCTTGAGCCATCGCCTTCTGGCATAGGACTCTTGGTAATTTCGTATATATTGGAATTTTAATAGCAATGACAATAATATATTTGATATGCTCAAAAATAATCACCATGCACAAGGCTTGGCGTAAAGGGCCGATTGATAAAACCGGGCCTATTCTATCACCAATCGAGGTGATCTATCACCAATCGAGTTACGGACGAAGTGGTGTGTTCAGCAAAAGGAACACGGTTCTTGGCTCCTTTGCCCTCAACCACCAGAAGCCCTTCCTCCACCCACACAGGGGCACAACCCACGGCAAACAGATTGCCCAGTTCGGTCAACTCTTACGAACAGCAGTGGGGTGCTGAGGAAATATATTTTACCCCGGGTCCACATGCTATCAGCGTTACCCAGCACTCACCACGAGGAGTCTTCATTAGTGCCAGTTTCTACATACTTAGTAAACGCTGATAGTTGGACAAACTGACAAAATACAGAAAAAGGTCAAATGTTCTAACAACATGCTGCTTATCATAAATATATTATGTGTGTACATATATATCTAGTTTTATAAAGTATATCCTGCATAGGGTGCAAATCAACAAGAAAATATCAGGACGGTCCGAGAACGATACGCACGTTTATAATATCATGTAGGAGGATAATTAAGTATCATCTTCGTAGTTTAAGGGATCACTGATAAGATGGAAATATCTACTACATAGATGTTTGACAAAATATTACACTTTGGCACTTGTTCGCTAGCACACATGACTGTTTCACCTAAGCCGAATTGGTTGCAGTTTATGTGGTCTTCCGTGTCCTAGATGGTGGTTACGGTATATTCAGCCCCTAGAATATTCCTGATATTTTCTTCTTGTTTTCTTCTCGGAATTCATCATACTCTTATGCAACTAAAAATTTCTTAAGTTGATATCACCGTCCGTAATTGTTACTTACCATGTTTGAATGGAAAAAGGCTGTGAAATGAAAACACAACCATCTGTTACTAAATATAACACACAACACAAATAAGTCAAGGGGAAAAAGTATTGTTACGCGAGCCGAGACTATCCTATTACAATACAAGTTACTTACTGCCATTATGATCTTCTTTGAAACATTTCTAGGTAATTTAGTCCCTTGGTTGTTGACTAGAAAATAAACGGTTACCCTTTTTGTTTCTGCGGCTAATCGTAGAGATCGCCGATTGAGAACCGTTCAGTCGGCGATAGTAGTGTGAATTATTGCTACGTTCGAGTATATAGACATTTCACTAGTACTTCTTACTCAGCCATTGTCAGTGCAGGTCCTGCACCAAGATCCATAAAGGCTCTCACACTTTGAAAGTTCTCCAACATTGTGGTGAAAACATGAATTTTATATGAAAATAATCACAAGTGTACCCTTACTGGAAAACATGTTCTTCTAGCAATATGTGTTCATTACCAAATAGCATGACTTTAGATAGGATCCCGATCTGCTGACTATTGCATCATGGCTTCACGTCCAGAGTATCATGTTCATGATGAACCTACATTGATATTTTAAGTATTTTAAGCTCATTTTCCCTCTGTATGGATTCAACACTGTATACCTAAATGTTAAGACTGACGCAGTCGGTTTTAAACTAAATTTGCCTATGTTGAATTCCAATGAATCCCGGCAATTGAACAAACGAAACTATTTATCTTTTAACTAGATGATGAAAATAGCATCCACAGTAACGTTTAAAGTCGTAATTTACATATTTTTTGTTTTTTTTATTTTAAGAAAAATCCTGAAATGTGAAATGTGTTTCAGTTCATGCATAAGGTATGATATAACATTCTATGTAATGTTAAAACCTGTATCTGCAATTGTCCAACCTTGACCTTGTGAAGAGGATGCAGAACAGATTTTCTTGTTGACAGCCACGGTAGATCCATGCTTAGTAATTGGTTCAGAAAATGTGCAGGTTCTGTCCACCATCTTTGGTGACATTATCAGGTCAATCACATTACAAACCAGAAAGCAGGTTCGTTTTCATCAAGATGTAAAAGTGACATGTGTAAACATTGCAGCATGGCGCCTCCATGTTGCAGGACCGGGCCAAGGCATAATCGGAACCACACGTTTTTTATGCTTGGTCTAATAAATGCGCGTTCATTTTTCTCTTGTGGTTTAAGAAAGAACATGCTGCTTACAAAATCACACTACTAATGCTCCTATTTAAATTATGATACACTGAGAATAACTGGTTTGATAGACAGCCCCGAATGTCTCTACTTCTCCTGCTATTACTAATAGCATGTCCACTTCATCAGAAGAAGAAATGTAATGTTCAGCAGCATCAAATTTAAAAACCAATTTTAAACGATGCTGGTCATTTCATTTGCATTAGAATATTCAATACAGCACCTTTCAGTCAA